GTAATGACGATGATGATAAGGTTTTGATGCTGATGATTGTTTTAGTGTGGAGGACTGACTTTTCTGTTTTCATACAGTTATGTAATATTAATTATCACATCTCAAACAACGATACAGTATGTGTTGAGGTTTAGCAAGGAGTCTGATTGTCGCCTGTTAAATATTGTATTTTCTATTTGTTTTCTTTACCAAAATCTTGATAAAGATGCCACGTTAAGTCAAGTAGAAACACGACGGCTGCGTTCCTCACAGTCTTAGCAATGATAAGCTGCTATTGGTTTTGGGGCAGAGCCAGGACAACAGATGGCGCACTTACAATTTCAAGAAAGTGCTGTCATCAGTGGCAATGACATATTAATCTACCATATCTGACTTCACATTGTGCATGTGGGTAAGAGACACTGCGAACTGTGCAACCACATGCATTCATGCTCATGCACGCACTCACACACCCCAGATGCAACGACTGTGTAACAGAAACATTAAGAAAAACGAAGCCAGGATGGTTCATTTTGAAATGGGAATTTAGTCAAATATTCATTTTAGTGGTTTCCCCCATAAATTGCTGCAAGCTGCAACATTTGGAGCATGTTTTCTAACCCAGAATTACGAGCGTAAATCATGACTTAATGTTGCATTTAAATAGTTACAGACAGGCAATTTATTCTTGGCTCCCTCTTTACATTTTGTGCAATAACATTGTGTGACTGTGCTTGTTTGTGTGTGTGTGTGTGTGTGTGTGTGTGTGTGTGTGTGTGTGTGTGTGTGTGCTTCACAGTTTATTGGGAGCAATCATTACTTGCTGACAACTCCCATTCGTTCTGGTCTTGCTCTTACATTTTCTAAAAGGCTTGCCATTCACATGACACACGCACGTTCACGCATCGCACCAGCACATGCACATGCACATGCACCTAACCAGCAGCCGGATACGAGCAGAAGTACACAGCGTGGCGGGAAGAGGAAAACATATTTGCACCTCATGCACTTGGCAGATTAAACCAAGCCTGTGATGAGTCCTAGAGGTGTCAGGGTACAAATCTGTACACACCACATGTAAAGATTCAATTATCCTCATATCACCTGCAGCGCGTTTGAAAGAAGAGAGGCTCATTGAAATATACCGCCATATTTCAAGCTTGTTTTGCTTCCAGGCTTGATAATTACAACTCATAGTGACACATGGCCCATATATCAACCCCAATGACATACAACAAAAAAATGTACTAATTTTTTCGTGTTTGAGCATATCAAACGTTCATGTTCATATTCAATTTAGACTGTTTTTTTTATAGGAGGTCATGTTTTTGCTGTATAATCACTATATAAATAAATAAATACTATATAAATAAAGTTCTACCATCTACCAGCTCCTCTTAAGCTCACTCATGAATACGTTATATCTCATTTGTGTAATATGCACAGAAACTAAAGTGTAAAGACGACAATTCGCTGTTTTACAGGTGACATGTGCAAAAGCTAGTTACTGATGGTTATCATTCCTTTAAAAAGTTTCAGTATTAAAATATAGTATAGAAGTATAAAGGTTCACACAGTATTATTTATTTATGCTGCTGCTTTCCAGTGTTACTGTGAAAAACTACCTTTCCTAACTTTTCCACTACTTTTAAACTTTCCGACACTTGATCACCTTGGTGGAGTGACCGAGACAGGATTCGGTCCGATGGTGAGCGACTCATTTGCTGAGCTGCAGCGCTCTGCCACAACCAGAGGCTGGTTAAACCACAGAGGAGCATGTTTTCCTGGAAGCCTGTGGGAGCATCAGAAGTTCAGGGAGCAGGGGAGTCATGTGGTTAATCTGTGTTGGTAACTGCTGGGCCTCTGGGCCTTCACATGAAAGCTGTTTTACTGATGTGTGCAGAACACAGAGGGTGGATTGGTAAGAGCTTCGGCGCACTTTATCCATCAAACCTTACTTTCAAGGTTTGGAGCTGCGGGATGTCTTCTCCCAGGGTTGCGGTTTCTGCAAGACATTTGTGTAATGGCTCACCAGCTGGTTTGTCATCAGAATGAACCTGGAACAGTGATTTTATGACTATCTTCATGAAGACAATCTTACTTAAAGGAACAGATTGACATTTTGGAAAATGTGATCATTTGCTCTCTCGCTGAGAGTTGGATGAGAAGTTCAATATCACTCTTACATTTGTACGCTAAATATGAAGCTATGGCCAGTATGCGGTTAGCTTAGGTTAGCATTAAGAGTGGAAACAGCTAGATTGGCTCTCTCCTAAGGTGTCAAAACCAACCTATCAGCATATAATTATACATTATAACTCATTTGTTTAATCCATACAATAACCAAAGTGAAAAAATGACAATTTATGGTTTCACAAGGGCTCATTTTGGACAGATCTAGCTAGCTGTTTCCCTCTGCTTTTAGTCTTTATGCAAAGCTAAGCTAACTAAGCTGCTGCCTGTACCTCCATATTAAACATGAGAATGGTATTGATCTTCTCATCTCAACAAGAATTTCCCAGCATGTCTAAATATTCCTTTAAATGCATAGTCTGAATACAGCAACAAAAGCTGAACCAAACAGTCATCGCTTGCTTGTCAATATTTCACAGACCTCAAAGACGTCTACCGTTTGCTTGCTTAGGGAGAGTCTTTTTGGGTTGAAGACAGTAGACCACTCAGTGACCTGGGAGTGGGGCTAGTCGAGGGGCAACGTTGGACTTGCACATATGGATCTGATATAGAGGGCAGATAACCAGCAGACGCAGTGGAGCCATCCCTTGTACAGGGCAGGAAGTGTGTGGTGTGTCTGTCTGCTCCTGTTCTACTGTACAGTGTGTGTGTGTGTGCGTGTGTGTGTGTGTGTGTGTGTGTGTGTGTGTGTGTGTGTGTGCTGAACCCTTTTGTCCTGAGACATTATTTACCCATATGTTAACTTAATGACTCCCCCGCTGTCGTATGAAGAGTGAAAGAGGTGTTGTGAAGAGTTCTCACAACGCCACAATGGCAACAGTAGTTCGATGGAGAGACTGAGAGAGAGCTGAGATGAAATCATATTCCTAAGGGATGTATATGTTATGTTAAATTAGGTGACTTAGTTTATAGTAGTGCATGTACTTACATATGTTTAACATATAGTCTCAGAGTTAAAGGTTTTCTTTCTTGGCTGCATATCAGAAAAAAAAGATTCATAAAGTGAACTGTACTTCAAACAACTTATGTATATCACACATGAAGCTGTTTTATTCTGATATAATGAGTTTTACAGCACAATAGGATCTTGTCATAGACGTAGATTAGAGCTGACAGATTGAACGGTTGCTTCACTTAAGTTGTGCCTGGTACTAAAATCACAGACGGATCATCTGCCTCCAATCTGTGCTCCTACAGTGGATGTGAAAGCGAAGGGTAATTAGTCGTTTTAAATGGTTGAAGCTGTATTCTCTCTGCGTCTGAGAAGGTTCCTGTGAAAGTAAGACAAACATGAACAACGTGTTTATTGTTGCTTCATAGTAATATTATATTTGATTATTTATTCAACTTTAAAAATTGTTCATTTTTTCTGATTAATCTATTGACTACAGCACATTAATGAATCCAAAATCAGTGTATTTAATTCACAGTAAAGAAGAAGTCGTATGATGCTGTTGAATTTTTTGCAAAAAATGATCCACACTGAGCCTACAGAGCTGGGCCAATAGTCAGTTCACAACTCCTGCAATAAGAGAAAATATGAATATATGAATAAAATTCTATATTAATATTACTAATCATCCTGAGGGGAATGTAAATGTTTATACCAGATATCATGGCAATCCATCCAATAGTTGTCCAGACTTTTCACTTAAAACCACAAATATGAATCTCATGGTGATGCTAGAGGAATTGCCAGGGTATCATCAAAGTCATTGGGCTTCATCCTATAAAATTTAACAACAATCCATCCAATAGCTGTGATATTTCATTGCGGACCAAAGTAGTGGAATGACAAACCAACAGACTGACACTATCATCCCTAGTCACGCTACTAGCACAGCTAGAAAATAATATAAGATATGATATATATTAACAGAGAATAAAACAAAGCACTGAATTATATAAACAATTCATAAAAAATATGTAAGAATAGACATAATCCAGTTAAAGCAAGTACATTTAAAAACAGATTAAAACAAGAATTAAACTATACCCCAATGGTTCAATCCTATGGGTTCCTAAAATGTGTTGGAAATTGTTCCAGATACTAAGAGCAGTGAAACCAACTGTATCACCAGTGATGAATCTGAGGGCCGAATTGCGGCTGTCAGCTGTATTTATTTTGATGTATGGCTTTGTCCAGTGCATAAACAAAGACTGGTGAAGTGGGTGAAAACATTTTTTATTTATTATCTATGTGTGTAATACATAATAAAATACTTATACTTTTATATTTATATTGCACTGTAGTTTACTGAAGCCAAGAAGTAGGGACAACCCTCTTAGGGAGATTGGAGAAATTTACTGCATAATAAAGTTTGTCTCATGATAAAATATCTCAACCTCAGCTTTAAGGCACCAGGGTGTTTTTATCATGTGATCACCGATTGGTGATAAGGAACATTAATCACACAAACTGTAGTTATACTATTGGTAATTATAATAGATCAGTAATGTACTCTGTCTCTACATGCAACGAATCACATGCAAGAATTACCTTTCACAACACAGTACAGTGATAAAAGTTAACTAAAACATGAGTGATAATCTTATTTTGACTATCAGATATATGTACAGTACATTCACTCTTATTAGACTTGATTACAGAATGAGGAATTTAACTGTAATCAACCACTGGCACCAAAACACTATTAAGTTGACAAAATGTTGCTAAAGGTGGTTTTAATTTTTTCCACATCATGAGCCACTTTGTTATGTGCAACAAATACAAGATAAGGAAAGATGAATAACTTACAGCAAGCGTTTCTGTATCCAGAGGATACAAAGGTCAAGAAAATCTAACTGGTTTATAGGTGGAACTTTGGTCCTTCGCTTCAGGTGAACTGAAGTCAAACTTCATTTCTGTTCAGATCAAAAACGTTGAGCTGTCTGCAAAAAGAGACACCATGTTCAGGTAAGGAGACTACACTTCTCTTTAAAGGGTTTCTGACTTAGCTCGCAGTGACCTGGTTTTAATGGTTAACAGTGTGTAGATGGTACAGTTTGTTTCTTTGACTTGAACAAGGATGTGTTGTAATGTCTGTGACACATGGGGATTTGAAATCTGGACATTAATGCTAAGTCTCTTCACTCGTAGGTTTTCTCTAATAGTCTGTGTTGCTCTGATATTTGGCGTCGCAGCGAAGCCATACAAACCCTGGGTATGTTTACATTACTCCTGGCTGTCCACTGTAAATTCCACTGCTTCAAATCACATGATAAATAAAACCTGATCAGTTTAAATGTTTGTATGGTTGTTAACTTGTATTTGGACGACAGTCATGTAATATTTGTGCTCTTTTCTCAGAATAAACTTACAGGTGAAGCTTTCCAGGATACTGTTATGTAAGTTGTAATTTCCTTTAACTAATTTGAAAGTGAATCATTTTCTCTTTGACGCAGGAAATGTAGACTGAGATTGTGTGATATATATTTCAGGTCCATAGATGATAATGGAAAAATGTCCTGGGGAGTGGAAGTGGAGCCTCCAGAGACCATGGATGAGACTGACTATGACATCGACCCTAGCATGATGATTTGGAAGAGTATGAGAGGCAAGGAACAGGACAAACAGCCCCTGAAGGCTGAAGAAGACTTGGATGAGCTGCACCATCCTTCCATGGCTGATCTCCTCAGAGTCCAAATCCAAAACATGGACGTCCTCTCAGCTGCCGACATCCAGCCAGGGCCCGCGCAGGAAGAACCCAACATGAAGTTTAATGAGGAACCAGAGGAGGATAGAGATGACATCGACCACCCACTTTTCAGTAAGGTGGCAGAGGAACCTGAGCAGAACTGGGATGAAGTGTACAACAAAGCCAGGGAGGAGCTGGATAGATATCTGGCCCCACTCACGGCTGAATACAAAGCTGGTGATAAAGTCCGTGTTGCACACTCTGAACCAAAGAAGGATGAAAACGACCTGTATCATCATGACGACCAACCTTCAACTGTGCAGATGGAGCTGCTGTTGCGTGAGGTCAGGGGGGATGGTGAGGTCAGAGTTCACCTCCAACCAGAGGAAGACATGGACGACCTGTACCACAAAGACCTCCAGGTGCTCGTCCCTTACCAAGATGATGCTGCAGTTGTCGCTCCCGTTGATCTGCCGTCTCAGAGGAAGCACAGCGAACCAGAGGAAGATCTGGATGATCTGTACCACCAGTGATCCACACAACCTGTGTAGATCCTTATCATTTCAGATCAGACACAGCTCACACACTGTAGCTGCAACAGGGAAATAAATCATAAGCTCCTTTTGACTCATTTAAACTGTCTTAAAAATCTGTGTTGTTTATATGTATCGTGCTGATAAAGACACTAACACACTTATCAAAGACTTTGTGGCTTTCATTTATTGACATGCATGTACAACACAGAAGTTATTTAGAAAAATACAAAATCATTTCTGCTCCTTGTAAACTGGAAATTAATTAGATTGTATTTAAGGCATTAATTACACATTAACAAATATAAATTATGCTTTGAATTCAGAGCAGAAATTGTCATGAGATCATCATTACTTTATAAAATGTGTGTGTGTATCACTGTAGCAGCTCTGCAGGAATAACCCCCTTCTTCAGTATCAAGTTACCATAAAGAGCCGTTTCCCTGTGTAGACAGAGCAGAGGAAAACATTTAAATTTAAAGACATGTTTGAAACATTTGCCTGGTTCCAAACATCAGATTAATCACTCAGATCTCATATTTGTTCAGAAATTCTTATAGTTAATCAAGCGAACCAAAATGGCAGTTCAACGTGAATATCAAGGTGGTATCACAGATAATAGGTACCCATTCGGTAGACTTCAGAAGGTTTGAACTTTTACGAAGGGATGCATGTTTTTGTACTCATTTTGCAGATGCAGAATGAAACATTCGGCCACAATATTCAAATGAAGGCAGAGAAAACACACACCCTGTTGCTACGACAGCATAGGCTTTCTTGGCTCGTTCATAGAAAACAAACCTTTCCACCTTCTCAAGAGGAGTCTGTATGTAGACAGAAATCAAGACACAATGAGTCAAAAATCAAAGAGATACACAGTTATATTGTGTTGCCTTCTGATTTATTTTAATCATGGGGTGGACATGCTGTTTTACCTGAGACCCAGCCTGACCCAGTAGCTGTGTGTAGGTGTCCCACACAGGGACAGCTAAACTTCTCTGTTTGTCACTGTCTACAAGATCCATGACTGCGGCCTGTGGAAACATTGTCACAGATTTGACACTTAAAAATTAAAAAAGGGAGCAAAAATAGCCTCTCTCATATTGTTGTCATCAACAAGACACCAGTCAGCTGGTTGTAGCTTTAGATTTATGGGTCCTGTACCGGAGAGGGGACATAGGTATCCAGGGGCAACAGCTTCAAAATGGCCTCCAAAAGCTGTGGGATTCCCACACCTACATTAAGACCAGACAAAGTTGGAACAACCACAATACACACAAGGACCCAGCATTTTCTATTTACAGATACACGCATGTACATACCATCAGCTCTTATCTCCTTTGGGCCATGAGCGCAAATAGAAGATGACGGAAAATTTGCATCAGCAAGAACTGAAAAGTAAGAAAAGACTGAATGACTGAATGAACTACAACAGGTTAAATGTGTGGCTTTTGTCGGTGCAGCTACAGATTAATGACCCCTCCTGCTCTGTCATTTACACTGGTGTTGACTTGAACTTGGATCAGCCTACTGTCTTACAGTGACTGCCGACGAGAAAGGCGATCTGTGTGTCTGTGATTAAATACCATACCCAGTTCATCCCCGTGGCCCATTTTAGCGAGAGCATACAGCAGCTCGGGTGATAAAACAGAGGGGATTCCTCTCAGCACGACCATAGTGGCAGACACGGAAAAGACACAACCCGGAGAGTGTTGAAGCAAAGTGAAAGCAGTCACTGCAGCCGACTTCCGTCTTCGTTTCTCTCCGCAGAAAATGCTAGCCGATTAAAAAAACGTTTAAGGGGTAGCGACTCTGGCATGTGTATTATGGTGGTGTCTCCTGTTGGTCGTCAAGCCAAATTCCAGGCTGTTTTCTGCCAGACGGAGGTTTTTGTAGGCTATTTATCTATCTTGATTCAATATCATCTTCTTTTTTAATCGCGTCATGTGATCAGGGACCCTAATTTGATTGGTCAGAGGGGCCACACGTCAAGTCCCTTTCGCAAACCTGAGATTTAAATAATTTAGGTTTACACTGTATCTTAAACACATTCACCTGTCAGTATGTGATCCCAGTTTCTAACTTAAATAAATTAAATTATTATTATCTATTTTAATTTTTTATTTTCTATTTTCTATTTTATTTTAAATAGCACTGTGGAGTTGGCCTGTAGCTAAAAAAAAAAAGAAGAAAAAAGGCAGGCGATATGTAGCCTACAGTGTTACATGCCATAATGAATATTAAATAAAATAAAAATTATACATGTTTTATGCTCAATTTAAAAAAATGTAGAATCACTTTTGCAAATACACGAAGACAAAGTTATCAGATGGTGGTAGCCTCTCTAAACCTATTAAATAGAATAGTGTCATTAGTATGACAAGCTGCATAGTTGGTTAATCTTCTGTCCATGTTATTTCTGACACCCTTGGGTGGGCATAATTCAAAGCAGACACCCCTGGTGAACGTGTTATTTCGACGCACAGTCCCCGGTGCCAAGAATGTGAGATAATGAAAATATTTGTCAGATGAAAACCACACTCCACCCGGCCTGTTTCATCTGAGCCAGAGAAACTCTCAGCTGGATGGCAGAAAAATGCTGAGGAATCCTTTCCATGACCGCAGATCCCGGCTGTGTAAAAAAAAAAGAAAAGAAGGCAAGGCATCTGCATATAAAAAGGCTTTTATAAAAGTCAAGTCACAGTTTAGTATTGCGGGCTTGTGGGCCTGGCCTATATACTGAATTTACAATCCTTATTCAGCTGCTGTTAATAATGGACGGGAGAAATATGCTGGCACTTTATTGCAAATTTTAACTGTGCATGCTCATAGGATTTTTGCATTCCAGCCCTACAATGTATTTTGTTTTATCCCTGTAATATTTCCTTATACAGAACTTGTGAAGCTCTGTGTGTACGCCATCTAAAACATAGTGTTTTTTTTTCTAATTGTGCAGGAAGAAATCACCCACATCACATTACAAACACGCATTTCTATAGGAAACCATAACTTTATTGTTAATTTTATAGTAGTATGTAGTGGAAAGGGATTGGCATAAATGGAAATACAAATGAATTCGATGTAAAAACATAGATGAAGAGGCACAGGGGCAGTGCAGTTCAGCAATATGAGAGTGATTTTTGGAGAGGGATGGGAGGCTGCTGGGCAGGAGAAAAGGCCCTCGCAGGAGCCAGGCCTGTCTGCCGGACTGAAAGCCCCTTTCTCCCTTTCTGGACCCATGCTGCTCTCTCTTTATCTCGGCGTCTTTAAATGAGTTTATCACGCTATGAGGGTCTGCGCTGCCAAAATGTAACGTTTTGCCCCCTTTGTCTGTGCGGAGAGCCTCAATTGAGTCTACATTTATTATTTTGACCTTTCGGTAGCCTCAAAAAGGAGCTTCTTTTCGGAGGCTCTCTGCAGACTTTTGTGCTTCCCCGCGGACCGAGGAGACGAGTTTTTTTTTTCTCCTCCCTTTTAAAGTTTTGTTCCAGGGGGCTGACAAGAAAGCAAGCTCCGGGGGAATATTGAATGAAAATAAAAATCAATTAGGCCATGGCCTTGTGAAGATATGGGGCGCCGCCGTGTGAAGATCAGAGAGAGAAAAAGGTGCCTCGCGATGATTGGAGTGGCAAAAGAAAGCGCACACTAACCAAATTTGTTCTGGTGTTTTCTTTTAAATCAAAATTATGGTTTCATGTGTTACCGAATATTTTAAGAGAATAGGTGATGAGCAGGACTTAACATACGGATTATTGTTAAAGGCTGTCTTTTTTTTATACAACTACAGTGAGAAACAAGTCATTTATTCTTACAGAAACTCAGCTTCATTGACGTTTATGGCTTTTGGCCATAAATTAAAGTCAAGTGTGAGTCTGTGGCAAAATGTGACCCTATTATTATTTTAACAAAAAAATCCCAAGTCATTTTCCCTTTGATAGACGGAGTAATGTTTTAATCGAACTAACTACAAAACGTAATGCTGACAAGTGTCTCATGTTTTTTTTTTTTTTAACATTATATCTATCACTTTACACTCAGTTGCACCACATCAAGCGCTCATCTGCAAACCATGCATTTCGACGCAACAGGCCCATTGAATTTATTGTCTATGTCCAGTTTCTGTGCCTGTGGGTAACAACACAAGAGCCCCATCTAGTGGTGTGAAGTACACACTGGTTGAATGCTGGCTGAGTTTGTAGCTGACACTTCACTGAATTTCTTGTGTTTCAAAACATACCTGACTTTTTGAGTTGAAAAGAGGCAAATATGAATTATATGCAACCACAGTATATCACCATGTCTTAGTTCCAGTACTGAAAACCAGCCTAGAGCTTTATTTGTAAAATGTATACGGGGGAAAAAAAGTTGTTTTCAAAAAGGCAGACAAACATTTGACAGTGAAAATTAAAAGGCAAAGTCAGTACAAGTCATCGGGGCTGATTCCTCTTATTACACACGGACTATAACATGTTATTAAATGGTATTCACATACAAACCCACAGCACTCCTGCACCCCGACTGCATCTGATTTTGACGTTAAGCCTCAGCAGGCAGGGCGTCACTGTGATAAGACACTCTTGTGCACTCAATCACTCAGTGCTAGATCCTAATTTAAACAACCTCCATGTTCCACCACCATCTGGATTTTTGCATCATTCAACTTGTTGTGGATAAGGAAATGTCCCGCTGATATCAGGAACTTAGTGTTCTTGGCTCAACTCTTGATCTGCTCTTCTTCTATTTGTCCTGGAAACTGGCCTTTCTCTTCTCCACAAATGCAGTCATGCCTTCCTTACGATCATCCTGCAGTGAAAATAAACACACACACACACATCATGACTGGACTGTCTATACCTCCTGCACCCACTCGCTGTTAGATGGGCTCCTCTACTCACCGTAGCAAAGGTAGCGTGGAATAAGCGCTTCTCCAAACGATTCCCCTCAGCCAAAGTCAGTTCAAAAGCTGCAGTCACACAGAGGAACAAGTCAGACTAGACTAACCCGAAACATATTCAGTTTAGTAGGTTTTAAGATATTCAACTTTTTAAAAACTAGTAGAAACAAACTTTACACACCTGCGTTAACAGCCTCTTTAGCCATAGCAGAGACCAGTTTAGAGTTGGCAGCAATTTTTTCCCCACATTTAACAGCTTCAGGCACCAGCTGGTCCACAGGATAAATTTTACTCACCAAACCTGGGAAACAAGAACAGCACAGTCTAATTTAATAAAGTATATATGTAATAAAGCCTGTCTATGCTAAACCTTCTCTTGATGTAAAAATACTCCATTACAAAATACTCCATTACAAGTAAAAGTCATTCATTAAAAATCCTAAAAGTACTAATTCGACGTCCTCTGTGACTGACATATCATTATATATTACATTATGGTCAGTTTTTATGGTCAGTTTTCCATATAATACTGGTGGGTGTTGATGGCTGTTTTAACCATGGATGATTGGGTGGGATGATAATGGCTGGATGGAGTCTAGGTTTTATGTTCTGCCATCTGATGGACACCGCTGTATGTGAGTGGGTTTTTTTTTTTTTTTTTACCATCTGTCAACATTTGTTTTTTTAATAAAAAGACACACACCAAACAAGTTTCATCTTTAGTAATGTTTTGTAGGCTATTTTATAAGCTTATCATATACATATAGTTTAATGTAAAATCTTAATTTGCAAAGTAACTAGTAATTACACCTGTCAAATATTACAATATGTGCTTCTGAACTGTAGTGGAGTTGAAGTATAAAGTAGCATACAATGGAAATACTCAAGTAAAGTACACGTGCCTCAAAACTAATTGAATAATAGTTACTTATGACATTCTAACACTGCTAGTTACCTGATTGTTTGGCTTCTTGAGCATTAATCTTGTCTCCTGTTAGTACCATTTCCATTGCCAGGGACTTCCCTACTGCACGAGTCAGGCGCTGGGTGCCACCCGCCCCTGCAGGTAGACAGATGTCACGACCAGCCGCTCCAAAAGCAACAATCTGGTAACTTAAGTATAAGGAAGTAAAGTATGAACGGGTAAGGAATGTAGATACAAACGAGTCTTTACCAGGAATTGTCCCCAACAGGATCTCTGGTTGGCCGAACTGTGCCTTCTCTCCGGCGTAGATGATGTCACACATCATGGCCAGCTCGCAGCCACCACCCAGCTGAAACAGTAGAACGTACAAGGAAGGGAATGAGATTTCTATTCATTGTTTCATATCCCATTTACATTTTGTGAAACTTGAACTGACTAGATTGAGCATCGAGCTGATTTGAGCCAATGGAGGGAGGGAAAAGGGAGAAATAAAGTGGGAGATAGGAGATGGGGTTGAAAGAAATTCTTTTATCCGTCATAAATCACACCGCCTCCCCTCAATTAATAAAATAAATGACAAATAAAATAAAAGAAGACACTAACAGCAAATCCATTGACAGCTGCAATCACAGGCTTCTTCACTGTGGACACTCTGTTCCAATGAGCAAGGAAGTTTCCACCATAACACTCCTGGAAGGTCCTATTCTGCATCTCTTTAATGTCGGCCCCAGCTGGAAAACACAAAAGTCAAGCTTACTGCTGACATATCACTGTGAACAGCTTATTGCACATTCTCTGTGAGCTCCCGGGAGGTAAAACACAAACACAAGCACAGAAAACACACTTGGGTGGTTGCCTCACCAGCAAAAGCTCTGTCACTGCCGGTGATAACGATAGCTCCAACGTCGCCGTCAACTTCAAAAGCGTCCAGGGCCTGTCCCACCTCCTTCATCAGCCCGTCACACAGAGCGTTGAGAGCCTTGGGCCGGTTCAGCTGGATGAAACCTACGTTGTTCTTCTCACCTCGCTTTTCCACCAAAATATACTCATACTGACCACCTGCATGCAGAGGAAAGACTTTTCAGACCTTTTTAATACCACATAGAATGAGATTTAATAACTGTTTATCTGTCATACTGGCCAAATTATTAAAGTATGAGGAAAACTAGAATTACTGCCTCGCAGTTCTACACCTTCGCCACTCAAGACTAGTTTCAGGTTACATCCCTGTTTATCCAGAACTGTATAAAACATTAACCATTTGTGAGAAATTCTGTCATAATTGTTGTGTGAAGTCTTGAGTTATGGCTTAAAAAAGTGTTTTGTGCGGTCACAATAACCTTGACCTTTGACCATCAAAATCTAATCAGTTCATCCTTGAGCCCCAATGGACATTAGCAGCAAATGTGAAGAGATTCTCTTGGAGAGCTCTCAAAGGTTAAGGTCACCGTGACCTTAAGGATGGACTGATTAGATTTTGGTGGTTAAAGGTCAAAGGTTGAGTCCAAATGAATTTTTGTGCCAAATTTGAAGATATTCCCCTCATGGCATCAATGTGATATCGCGTTCATGAGAATGGGATGTCCCTATGTTTAAACAGCTGATTTTACAGGAAGGCTGACAAGTGGCATTCATGTCATATCTGACCCATTTTCAACACTGCAACGCAACACTGTCAGCTCTCTTTGTCCATGATACAGTACAGGCAGATAGGGAGGAAAAGAAACTATTCAACTGGTATTTTACTTACCAATTTGGCGTCTTCCAAATAATCCAGCCACTACCTATCCACCATTTTAAGCTTAAAAATATCTAACAGCTATAATAGGTCTGTTTCTTATGTTTCAGATGGCAGCTGGAGGAACCAAAGTGCTGACAGTGTTGATCTTGTTAGGCTGGTTAATCACCTATTGGCTTTTCCCTGCTCATAACTATCGTAATTATATCTGCCTTTAAAAATCCACTATCTGTCCACCTCTGCTTCATAGTACAGGCCTCTGGTTAATCATTCAAGAAAAGGTGAAGGATCAACATTAACAGCCATACAGAGACCTTGGAGCCCCTTGATCCATCTTGTGGAGCAAAGTTACAAAACTTGGGTTTGGTGCTTGTGGAACAGAGACAGCTTTTATGCATGTTTGGCCTTTAATAGAAAATCCACCCAAAAACAGAATTTACTCAGAGCTATTCCAAATATTATATACAGTTTATATGTAGAACCACAAACATCAGTTTCTTGAGTTATAAATCAGAGCATCAAGACTTTACTTAATGAAATGTTTAGGTGACACCTTCTGACTGTATGATTATAGTATTCATATCATAGTAAACACTTATTAAATCGTCAATCATGCCTACTTTTCCAGGTTTTTGAGATGAAGATAGCAAACTTAAACACGTCGAAATTAAAGATCCATTTCAATTTTATCCATGCACTAGAATATGTCAGGGTTTTGTGGCAAATCTAAAGGGAAGGTACAATCACATCTGACTACTGTCATATTGTCCTGAGATCTGTTACAGTTGTTCTGTGGAGCAGGATTTGTCTCTGTAATCGTCACTACAGTCTGATAATCTATAGTCGTGTTTTATAATGTAATTTTAATGCCATTTTGACTTCAGCCTGCCTACTTCTGTGCAATATTACAGAAATGACCCCTGTAAATTCCACTTTAGGGTGGAATTTACCTTTACACAGTGCTAGTCCTCATGTGATCAACGTGTTAAGAAATTATTTGTCATTAAAATGCATCAGGTTTTGTGGCGCTAGTAAGAGATACACAGACGAATACAATGTTTTGACAAACTGAAGTTAGTCAGCAGCTGTCTGCTGCACATGCGTCGCACAGTCAGCAGTGCAGGTTTCTTGACATTGTGGCAGCAGCAGCAGCCACAACACACTGACCCCGGACTATTTTTAAACACACACCTGAGCTGTAGAGACGGGCGGCGGACAGGACGGCCGGCGCTGCTCCGGAGGGCTTCAGGAGCAAAGCAGCACTTCTGCAGAGGAAAGCCATAACAGCGACGACGACAGACTGTTGTCAATGAACTTGCTCCAGGATCTCTGGCTACTTCTTCCTCCTGCGTTTTCTTCTTTGTTGGTGTTTTTTCATTAGGCGGCATGTTACCGCCACCTGGTGTCTGCGGAGGGCAGTGCAGGGTGGAACTACCATGGGAATTGCCTTCTCCATAACTTATTGATCAATTTTAATGAATTAAATAAATCACATATTATCAAATTGAGGCTGTGTTACTAAAGCATACTGTTATTTATTTATTTTTATTGTCTTTTTATTGTTTACTCCATGGAAATGATTCAAATGTTACATATAATTCAGTAACAATTATCCAATATTATTTATTATGCAATTTTCTTTTATTATACCATACAATATTATTCGAATTTGAATATTTAATTAATATACATCCTGGTAAAATCGACCAAATTAGTATCTTTATATAAGATAATTATGCAATATATGCATTATGTGAAAATTGAGCCTCTACATGATTTTTTTAAAACCAGAAATAAATGCTGATAAAATATTTGTAATAACAATAATAATAGTAATAAATGATAAATAGATACATATATACACACACACAGAAACCAAACCTAACCTTATCAACATTTTATCATCATCAATTTAACCCGATTACCTTACAGATAAAGGAGATGGAGAAATAAATCAGCCAGTATATTTCCACAAATCTAATATAAAATCACTTAATCTAAAATAAGGTTATAATAAGCTTTTGACAAGACTCGCCCCGGTTTGATAGTATCACAGTATCTGATGCTCCTATATAAGAACTCCTGTGGCAGCGGTGAGCGCGCTGCGCGTTCTCACTGTTATATGCGTGAACGAGCCTGCATGCATCGTCCGTGACAATCCCATCTCCATCTCTCCACCGAGTGCCAAAACATAAGCAAGGATAAGAACACACGGAAATAAGGTAAGCACCAACCATTTGGGTATACTGGTTTACATGGGCGTGGATGTATGAGGGGACGATGCATTTCTTTTTAAATGGTGGGATTCCTTCAGGCTATAACACAGCAGCGTACAGGCTAATTTATGACTACAGTCAGATGAACATTGCATGTGCATTGTGCATTAGTAAAACCTGCTATTGATAACATATCGTACATTCAATAACGAAAATATTTTGTACATTTATACTTATTGGCCCAGTTACCTGCTAGACCTCAATAAGGCATTTCTAGTGATGGCCTATTGCCACAAACAAACATGCCATCTTTTGTCTTTTATTCATAATCATCCATACATCGAATATTATTTCATGTATTTGAAGGCTGAAAGGCAACAGCAATTTTCTCTGGTGTGCACATTTATTTTTAAACTGACCTACTTTAGTGGAGAGAGGGAATTTGCAACACAGAAATGTGTCTTTATGATAAGACCATATATTCAGCAACACTGCACACTACAGGGACATCTCACATTTGTTGAACATTAGTACAACCTGGGTTCTTCAGTGCTGTCGAGGATATCTTATGTCACACCAGTTTAGGGATTTATTCAGGATTTTAGAATAGAAAACATTGGCCTCAGTTGTTTACTGAAATGTTCCCACAATCCTTTATAATTTCTCCAAATCACATATTAAAGGTGCAGGTAACCACCACAGGTAGGTCCTAAAATGTGTCTCTCTGCTCCATCATATCTTCTTCCCGCACAGACGTCAGGAATGAACCAGGTGGTTGCAACATGCTGGACTTGCCTCCTGCTCTCTGCTTTCCTGTGTGAACCCGCACTGTCCAAGGGCGGGCGTGGAGGGTCCCGGGGTTCCTCCCGAGGCTCCCCCTCCCGCAGCTCCACAGCGGGGAGTTACCGGGGAGGAGGCGCCTACGGTGGGACCCGCTCTCGCTTCAGGGTGGCAGGGCGAAGTTCCCCGGTGAGGGTGGCAAGTGCAGCAGCAGCGGGGGCAGCAGTGGCGTTAACGGCCGATAAATGGTACGCCTCCGCCTACCGCCGCAGCAACGCCGACAGCTCAGACGAAGAGCTGGATTACTACAACAGGACCAATTACTTTGATGCACAAATGTCAGGCTCAACTCAAAATGGATATTCTCTCTCTCAGCTGATTTCTATCATTATTGCAACATTTTCCTCAAAATATGGACTCTTACTGGACAGTATACTGTAGATGTTCAAGTTATTTCTCAGGATAAACTCCTGATTTGGTTTAGGCCTGAGCTTCTGCCCTGGATCTGACTATCATGTGCAGGACTAGCTAGAACCTGCACTGTGAAGACCAGTTAGAGGTGCAACAGAGTGGTGGAGTGACACCACGATCATAAAAAAAAAACAAAAAAACATCACTGTACTGTATGTTTTTACACATACGATCCTCTATACCAACAGACAAATGTACATTACCAGCACAGTGTTCAATGTGACATTTCACCTGTCAAAGAGTGCGCCTTTGTCAAAGCTACTTCAATCTGCGTGACAGAGAGACTGACAGAGAATTAGTTTCCTTTCCTAAATCTTGATTCCTATGTAAGAAAATGTTTGTGCTAATAATCTCAATAGCCTTCGTAAAGAGTGTAAACAAAGTGCTGGCTGCCAGTTTTAATTGTACTGCCAAACTCAACTGTATCTTAAAGAAATGTATTTTCATAAAATACACAAAACATACAAAGTGAGTGACCACTACCACTGCTCTGTACAACTGAGGTGAACTACTTGTATATACTAGCAGACTATGGGTCTAAATGTGAAGCCTTGACTTGCAGCAGTTTGTGTAAAACACTGAAATGCAGGTGACTAGTCATTCAGTACTTTTCTATAATTGATTAAGTAAAAGCACCAAGCTGGCACCAGCATTATTCTGAAATTAAAATTGCTACATGTAATTTTTTTATTCCTCAAATGGACTTTTTTATTTTAGGAAGAACATTTGCGTATTTTTCCAGTTTGTGACCTCAACCAAGATGAAGTTATTTTACGCCATTCTTTCTGAAAAACTTAACTTCAAAATCTTGCTCAGTGATCTGAATGATTTATGGTGGCAGTCACTGGTGTGGCCATAGAGACGATTCTCTACAATAAGACAAGGCAAATGAGAGTACTTTGTACTGTGAAACTGCATTTTTCCCCAATCATCTCAAATTTCTGTGCAATTCACACCCTTTTATAAGACCCGGACATGTTGTGAATTCATTTCTCAGACCTGTGTATGAACTACGTCATGGTTGGGAGGGATACTAGAAAACAAAGTGCTGCTCTCACTGTTATTCCTGTCTCTGTCTGTTCATCATCCCAGAAGAGCTTTTTACCTGCAGTAGACACTCAGGAGCAACAGACTGTTCCATATCTGTAAGTGCACTCTATTATATGCTACTACACTTATGTATATGATAAATAGTTTGTTATCACTGTCTTTATGCTAATAAATATCCTGTTTACACCATGTCAGATATCTGCCTCATATATTCTAAAAGCATATCTGAGAAAAATGTCATACCTGAATCAAATTAAATTCTTTTATTTACAAAGGATACTGTGACTTTTTACAAACAAAAACAGACTACATCATGTCCCCAAGATGTCTGAGACACGAGGGCGGAGCTGGACTATATTTCCTTGATGACAACCTTTGTGGTTGAATAGAAATCCTTCCAGACTCAAGACAAACTGGCAAAATCCAGCAACAGTCTCCCGTTACCTTGTAAAACAGCTCAGGTCAGTCCAGCATTACTCGTCCCAGCTCTCCTTTCCTGAAGGCTCTTATGAAATCGTACGCTGCTGCTGTGTAGTTTGGGAGAGTGACGGTAATGTTTCCTGAAGGATATGAGCAACAGACATTTTTATTAGAGGAGTACTCTTAAAGACGTTGGAGTGATGCTGATCACAAACTGAAGAGAAAGTATACATATTTCTAGAGAATTCAGAGACATTAAATATTATGAGATATCACTGAAAACTGCTTGTCAGGTTGTTTGCTGCCTACCTTTTTAAAATTTCCATTTCTATTTTTTTAAAAACCAGTCTGCCTCTTACATTAGTATTAGTTTAATGTGTAAATATGGTGGTTTATCTGGTTAAAATGGAAGACACCCTTAAAGTGATAGTTTGACATTTTGGGAAACATGCTTATTTGCTTTCTTGCCAAGAATTAAATGAGAAGATTGATACCTCTTTCATGATGTATGGTAAATACAAAGCAACCTCCAGCAGTCTGTTAGCTTAGCTTAGCTTAGCATAAACACTGGAAACAGCCTGGCTCTGGCAAGAGGTAACAAAATCCACCTACCGCCGCCTCTAAAGTTCACTTATGAACATGTTACATCTTGTTTGTTAACTCTGAACAAAAGGAAAGATTTTTTATTATATTGGCTGATTAAAATTGGTTTTCCTTGACAAAAAGTTATAGATACAGTCTACAGGCCTCTTCTCTTATGATTGAGACTGACAGAGCTCTGAGATCAGTAGGCTCCACATGCAGTAATAACTTATGAAAGGCAAAACCAAATGTTATTTCAGGTCATTACAGCCAGGCTTAAATGTTTTTCCTATTAAACCATCATAATTAATTAGAGCGCTTAGAAGTGCTCGTAGGTGGACAGAGGCACACTAGATGTTTCCCTGTTTCCAGTCTTTAAGCTATGCTAAGCTAACTGGATGCTGGCTGTAGCTTCATACTCACTGTGCAGACAGTGCTACAATTCTTCTCATCTAACTCGCAACATGAAAGCAAACAAATGTATTTCCCAAAATGTCCAACTAGTCCTTTAAATCAATTAAACTAATAGCTAGTCAATAATAGTATCTGGAACAGGAGTATCTGTAGGATTAGCACTTTCTTACCCACTCCTGTAATGGCTTTGACCCGCTGGGTCTTTCCAAGTTTGACAGCAATGCGTTTGAGGAGATACTGGATGTCATCACTGGGCTCTTGAAGGTCGTATTTCTCCACATAACTGCACATAAAGAAACACATGCAGTAAACAGTCACAGTAATGTGAAACAAAAAGAACACACTGGCCATATGAAAGTCCACTCAGTCATAATTTAGGGTGAAAATTCACACCTGAACTTTCCCAGCCTGTTCAGAGAATAGAGTAAGTAGTCAGCAATAATGTCTTCACCAACCAAATGGTCCAGTATACTTCCTGTGGAAGGAAAGAAAAAAAATATCAAAATATTTGTTGAGCACATTGGAAAAACCTCTTATACAAACAAATGAGACAGTTATTACACTGAATATAGTACAACAGACTTTCCGCATGGTGTTTCCTCAGTGACAGCATTTGTTATGTCAGGTAGAGAAAAAAATCACGTTCCACTCACCACATAAAGCCAGCTTCATGCCTGTTTCGACACTCTCAATCTTAGGAGGCAAAACTCCTGGTGTGTCCAACAGGTGCATTATGGGTCGCTCACACACCTGAGGACAAAGACAGGTACAAGTACTGTACAGATGCACACACACAATGAACCAATGAGCACAACACACATACAAAGAGACAAACACATCCTCTACACGCACCTGAATTTTAGTCAGGACGGCTTTAGTTATACCTGGCTCCCCGCCTACTCGAGATGCACGACCTGAAATCAGTGTATTATTACAATATCTTTAAGTATCATGCTGAATCAATATCCAACAACTATCATCTATTTTATTTATGCATACCTTTCTGCAAGTTTGTTCTTCTTAAAGAGTTAATAAGAGATGACTTCCCCACATTGGGCACTCCAATCACCATCAGGCAATAATTTGTATTCTGAAAGTTTTTCAAGATAAAGTCAGAGACTGGACAATATATTAACATTCACCTTCCATTACCTTCAAACTCTGAAAAGTGAGAAATATATAATAAATATAAAAATGGAAATAAATGATTCTATGTTGATTCAGGTCCACTGAGGCATAAGAAAAGAAGCTTTTGAGTCACAAAGAAACAGCTTCTTGCTCCCATAATTCTGCCTGAAACATAGTTTTGTGGATCATACTGTGGAAAGTTTAAATAAATTAGATATCAGTTAAGTAGAGAAAGGTAGCATCATTTGTGAGGGTGTGACCTGTTGTTCTGTTTTGTCATTTTATGGAACTTTTTGCAGATGTATCTTATGTAGCTTGTATGTTGGTAGTTGTTTATATGTTGAAGAATAAGAAACATGAAATTATGTTTGAGGTCGTTTAGAAACAGCGAGAACACAATTTCTCTGCACTGACAGCTGTAAATGTCTAAGCTAAATTTACTAAGCTTTTTTGGCTAATTTTACCCAATGTTGAACTAAAATACATTATTAAATTGCCTAGATGTATTTACCTCATCTCTATTAAAACGTGGTGTGCTTCCAATAATTTCCATCACCATTGGCACCAACTACAGCAAGAAAAAAAAAACAAAAAACACAGGAATAACTTGCACATTCATGGTCAGATTTTTATTTCATATCAGGGACAAACTTCTGCAAACAGTCAAATGTTTGGTATCCAGTGAAGATGACCTTTACCTTTTTGATGTTGTCGTGTCTCTGCTTTAAACAGTCTGTGAAGAGAACATTCCTCACCCCATCTTTTTCTAGCTTCTTCAGGATTCTCTGGAGGGTTAAATGTAAATTTTAAAATGCTAATGACATGTGATAATGCTAAAACAGCAGCGAGACTTTTTACCTGCTTGCTGGACAGATCAGCAAGGTCCATCTTGTTGAGAATTAGCACATGTGGTCGGACATCTAGAGTCTCCTGAAACACAGGGTTTCTTCCAGAGAAGGGGATGTGCGTAATGTTAAAGAGAAATTTACTTCTGCAGTCGAGTTCCTCCTAGATTGTGCAATGTGTACACCTTTTATATGCTACAATAATCCCTGGCCACAGATTTGCAGGGCGGTAATTTGCTTTAACAGATTCATTTAGGAAAATGCAACCTATAAGCACAAAACTGAAACAATAGAAAACTTAAATCTACAGTTTTGGAGTCTGGATAGCACCAGAGGTACCTGCATCGTCCAATTGGTAAACAAGCCTTTAACTCAACTAGAAATAAACTGAATACACCATCCCAGTATCTACCTTACCACTGTGTCATCTTGGACTGCAATCTTAGCATGGATAAAAATATTGCCCAAAACTTTTTGTATAACTCTGTATGTTATATTACTACATTATTTTATTATAACACGTTTTCTTCCCCAGGTAACAATAAAAACCTTCTAAAGCTGTGCACTTGAGAAAAGTATGTTTGGTTTCTACTCCAGTGCACCTGTTTCTCAGCTTTTCCCTTTTTCAAATCAAACAGTAAAGCAGAGGGCATAATAAATACCTGGAGGGAGGGTCTAACCTCCTGAAGTCACACCCATAAAAACTGATATCTCCATTTATATGTTGTATTTTTTTCTCCTACACACCTCAATGAAGTTTGTTAATGAGTGGCACTAAAATGTGTATTTTACATTACACAGAAAGACACCATCTCCCCCAAACTTCTGTTGCCCAGTATTTACAGTGATATTAAGAAAATGTGCAATTGCAGCTCACTTGCTCTCCATACAATAGTATTAATTTCTTCCACCCTACCTATATTTAAGCAGCTGTAAGAAGTCTTTTATTGATAACTGATAGAAAAGTATCTGCAATTAAAAATAAGATGGCACTTTGTTCTGTTAATGCATTTGTTTTTATTTTAAAGAAAGGATATTCTGGCATCGTGGATTTCTATAATGCAGTCCACACTCCTGAGGCTGGCTCTCATCTGCTTCAGTCCTGTTAACAGTCAGGTGAAATTATTCACATTTTTATCCCCACCACACATAATTAACACATTCTGGAGCTAACTTAGAGCGAAGCTGTCACCTTTAGCCATGTGTCCGGGGAACCAATGAGCCACGTCCCGTCCACCGAAGTCGAAAACGGTTCTGAACTTGTCGACATTACGGAGTGCCTGGTACAGTTTCATGGCCACTAAATATGACCACACCGGGCTTTCATGTGTGTTAATGAAAGGCTTATGTTGACCTATTAGCTACAAACCCTCTTGCTGCACTAGACATGCTCGTGTGCTACACTGTTTACATGCCGACTCGAATCTACCGTCAAATTACCTCGTTCCGGGGCAAGACTTCTTCTTCGTGTGTTTTTCTTCTGTTTATGCGACAGTGGGTGCGTTTCTGCCCTCCTCGGGAAGTAAAATGAATTACTCTGATCACTATCTCTAGGCTATTGGCACCCAGAAATCTTACAAACAACTTTTTCTTTTTATTGAACTTCCACCTTCATAAAAAACTTCCGGTATCAGAAAATGAGCAACAGAACAGAGACACATTCACACCCAAAATAGAACAACAAAGACGGAGAAAAATAATACAAATTTGAGGCCATCAAGCTTCCCTGACACAAGACAAAAAAAAAATTTCACGCTCATTTCTTCTGATCCATACTTTCTGAGGTGCCCTTGAGTGCTTCTCTTCCTGTAGAATACTTTTGGCATACTTACAACATTACATGCTCTACTGACTCATCTGTTTAATGTTTGATCACATAAACCAGATGGATGTTTGCCTGTAAAGTGCAAAATTTTATTCTGTTCAGTCTGTTGTGTTTTTGGGAAGTTTGGCCTGTAATTTTGATAATATACTGATTCAAATAGTAAATTCCTTTATGTTCTCCAGTCCAAAACTTTTCTTTGACGATGTTCCCACATCATTCACAATTAATCATAATCGTGAGAACAAAGTTTGTGCAAATGCAAAAGGTAAGGCAACATATTGTGAGCTAAAAACAATAAAATAATTAGTAAATAGAATTTAAAAACATATGAAATTGATCTTTATAAAATGTTTTTACATAAATGTGCAAATTTATTTACTTATTGATTTAAATGTTGAAATTTTTTATTAGGAAATTAATTCGTATAACTGCATTGTGGTTAAACAGATGTGTAAAGAAGATGTATTTACATTCTTTCATTTTTCTTTACCAAAAATATTCATTAGTTAATATTTAAAGCTGTTCCCTTAATGTATTTAATGCAAATATAATTACTGTATCTATCACTTGTGTGATTTGCCTGTTCAAGTTGACAATATCAGCCAAATGCATTAGTATTTTAATGCTGTGAAATCCGCAGCATAAAGTCAGCAGTAAGTAACTGTAAGTAAGTGACTGATTTAAATAAACAGCACACAACCCTCCAAATCAACTCTGAGATCAGTGTATGAAGAAGTTGTAGATTTTAGATATAAATTTTTAAAAATTTTTTTGTCAAAGCAGCATTGTTCCTTCTAAAGCTTTGACTTGGCCGGCTGAGATGGACTGATGGAGGAGTAGTGAGAGATGAGCCGATCAGCTTCTCTGCACCCGCTGAGAAAAGCTCCATGGACGGTGGAGTAGTAGTAGGGATGAGTAGCCTCTCCAGCAAACAACACCTGCAGGGGCTGAGACACACCAAATATTTAGAATGACAATTCATAAATAATGGCTAATTATATGTGGGCTAGTGTGTACACATTTATGTTTGACTATGAACATATAAGTACTTGTGACTGTGATTCCTTCACAGGCAGGGGCTCCATCATGTTCTCCAGGTCCTGCACTGAACAGCCTTTTCCAGGGTAACTGTAGGATCCACATGTCCAGGGGTCATGAAACCACTGGGAGCGTAGAACTCTTCTTGGGGTGATGATAGGGTTTCCTAAATATAAACAGTCACCAGGGCTCAGAAACATTTTTGAAAATAATAAAGAGACGGTAATACGCTCTCAGTAAAGGAGCATTGTGAATCATTTAGCCTCACCTGTAAATCTACGAATAAGTTGTGTGATGGCATGCGTGACCTCCTGCTCAGAGAGTGTCTCCATATACTCTGACTCATGCCCAGCAATCCAGCCACACAGAGCATGGCCATATCTGAAAGTTAAACCACAAATAGGACTGCTTTTTTAGATGAACGAATGAATCTGCCAATAATTATACACTAAATACAACATAAACAAGCTTGGCACATATATGCGGTTGCTGACCTTTCAGTGGGTTTAAGCACAGTGAAGCCAAACAACTTCTTTATCCAGGATCCTTGTAAATCTGACACCTGGTCCAGCATGGCATCCTGAATCATGACAAGAGATAAGACAGATTTTTTGCTAACTGCTGGCATAAATATCAAACATTCTGGAGTCAGTTGTACAGCAAGTGAAGTCCTAAGTCAAAATATTTGAGCAAATTTGCGGCACATAATATTTTTATTCAATGTGTGAATGAGCACAGTGCATATACATTTTCTGTACAGGAAATGTACCCCTTTATTCACAGACGACACATCTCACCTCATCTTCCCACACAAAGTAGATGACCTCACAGTCGTGATCCCACCACGGCGAATCGAACTCCACATATATTTTATTGTTCGTTCCAAAACCTAGCCTCTGAACAGAGTGCAGCTTGTGTAGAGGGAGAGGGGGACGGAACAGAGTTGAATGGTGCTTCTTTAGGTATCCTGACAAAAAATAAAGAAGCTTGAATTTGTGCCGCTAAAGAATCAAACAAAACTGTAGTAATTAAAGTGTTTATATTAGAAATAGAAAATACCATTTATCAAAAGGAAATTTAGGGATTTAGTCACACCTATCTAAATGTTAAAGGTCCCATAAACCTATTGTCCACCCACACAGATGTTTTCTCTTATTTTGCCTGATAGAACTTGTATATGGACTGTGTGTGAGTGTATATAGACTGCGCTTGATTTGACTGAACCCCCTATTGGTTTTGCATTGCATGGGAGAGGCTACACCTTTATAATTCTTGTTGGGTCATACAGTTTGGTGACCTCATGTAATCCCCAGCATGGCCGCCACCCAACGTCAAGTCTAATTAGCAGGAAAAACATCTGTGTGTATGTGTAGAATCTTTAAGTACTAAAGTACTATTCACAATATTGAGCATTAAATGATAACCGAGTGTTTGTGTATGTACGCATATGATTCTACCTAGAGGTACTGTGACAATAACATGATCAGCAGCGATCTTCTCCCCATCATCACACTCAACCGTCACAGGGTTTTCTCTCTTCTCTGTGTTGTTCCAGTGGACAAAGCGCACAGGCTGATTGTAGGTCACTAAACCACCAGGGAGCTCTGACATCAAGTTTTTGATTAGACCTTCATAGCCACTGCACGATAAAGAGAACAATATTTAGGTCAAGCTGATTTGCTTGTTTATCTTTATTACATGCCATTATAAAAATAAATACTTTGTGTATCTTTTGGTTGCTAGCAAAAACAAACAATTGCAAAACATCACTTTTACTTATTAGATTTTTAATATGTAAGTGTAGGATATAATGACTTAATGAAATTGATTACTGGAATAATTGTTGCAGTATATATATGTATGCAATGTTAGTAGTACGAACCCTGGGAATGTACAGTCCAGTCCAGGTAGAGTCTTGTAGAGGCCAAAGGCCCCCAGGCCTACCTCATCCAAGCTGTGACTCCCATTAACACAGCACTCCACCTTCAACATGTTGCTGATCATGCACAGTTGTAGAGATCTGGTGTTTGCATCCATATCTTTCCACATCTCTGCTGCTCGTTGTTGCACCTGCGCCAGGCAACAAGCAGCAATACAAACTCTTTTCTTTATTCTTGCCAGATGCAATTTATCATCAAGGACAGCTGATATTAGATATAAGGAGCTGACAAACACATTGCCAGTATTATTATATAGTATTATTATAGTATTTCAGTCACTGAAAGAAATGTACCTCTGAGCGTATGAAATCTCCCACATTGGGCCAGGGTTCTCCCCCTTGACTATGAAATTCTGAACTTTCACACAGCAACTCAGAAAACATCTCCAGAGCAGGCTGGAGGTCCTCAGCATTCAGCTTCCGACCTGCACACGTCACATATCCCATAGAATAAAGGTTAGGAAAATGTCATTCAGTTTATCAACTCATATCACTTCTCTCATACAGTACAGTAGGTAATCAATAACTAAATACTGGCTGTATGTGTCATTACAGGAATGCAATCACTTGCAAACATATAGCTGCAATTAATTTTAGTTGGGGCTTCAAACTGTTTATACCTGTACCTTGCTATTCCAGTTTCAGCAAAAGAGCATGTGCATTAGCGCTAAAGTACACACCTAAAATATCGCTTAAGGCCTCAAGCTCAGGAAGGACCATCAATATTTAACTACCATTCTCTGTGACCTGTGTAGCAGGCTGCTGTAAAACTGGTGTAAAGTCTTATCTGAAATCATTGACACACTACTGCAGTTCAGCACTGCAGCCTGCTGTGCACCCACCAGGGTGGCATAACAACAATCTGCCTCTCCTCTGTGTTATTGCCTTTAAATTCTTGCTTGATGTTTTTTGCAGTTTACCGCTACAGATAACAGACACAATGATCCAGAGTATAACCAAGGTATGGTACATTATTTTGTCTCAAAAGCCAAAACAATTTACATTCACAATGTAATAATCTACTCCATGCATAGCAACCAGAGAACAGAGAGCAATGAAACCTTAGCAGAACAGGGCAAGACCAAACTTTGGTCTAAAATAATATAAAGTAAAAAAAATGCATCCTGTCATGTCATGAAACCTTCGATTACATATATATTTTTTCATACAATTTTGATCTATCTGAGAGGTCAGTTTTAAAATTGGCTGATTTTTGAAACATTGGCTGACCTGAACTGCTGAAGACATTGGGAACCCAGGGGGGATGTCCTCCCACGTCCATAGCCTGGTTCTCTGGGGTGAGGGCCTCAGGATCCAGGAGCCCATACTGACGAGCCAGACAAAACACTGGGTTCCCCTCGGACGGTCCATGGATCCAGTTTGCCCCTATCTCAACAATACTATCACCTACAGATGAAAATGATTGTGAAATCAGTTTTCCTACATTACACTAATATTATTGCTGTGTGACAAAGATAGGGTTACTAAAGTGGAATAACCCTTACAATATGATCCCTTGCATTTATCAGTTATTCACATGATTTACAGCAGACATAACTAGGTCTGGTCCTAAAAACACATTTTAAAAAACAGGTGAGGCAACACTTGGATCAAAATATATCATTATTTTGATTTAAAAAAGTCAAATTACAATACAATTGCAGAACTCTTGATTTAAATCATCAAAATTATCATTATGATCTTCAATTTTTACTAATGAGTATTTTTCATATTGTTAGTTGTAACATTTAATTATTTTTGTCTACAAAGCTTTAAATCAGGGCTTGTTATTGGTGCATGTGTGGAAAGCCTTTCCCACAAAAGGTAATGTAGGTGGAAGAAAACAGTATCTCTTTGCATTGAGTTTATCATGTGCGTTTACCTCACTATCACATGTGCGTTTACCTCACTATCACCGGATGAATAGCTTGTCATAAATTTGATGAAGGCTTGGAGATGGGCATGAAATAAGGGACAAACCTCTAAAATCCAATATGTATTCAAAACATACAACACCAATATTAAGAATTAAGTATTGATTTCAAGTTTAGTTGCACTTCTTCACAAACTCCCTACAGTAAAACACCTAATAACTCACATTGAGTTATTGATTACATCTCATATTGTACTGCGGCTGCATAAAACCGCAGTGGAATTGGTCTTACATTACATCTATGATCTTTTCTTCTTGGAGTAAATAATTAACAGGCGACTCAGCTGCATGCAGACATAACTGTTTTGAACCCTTTTTTTATATAGAAAAACTGTCAAAAGTCTCTGTTTTAGCTTCTTGTATGAGAATATTTCCTGGTGTCCTTAGTCTTCTATGATGGTAAACTCACCATACGTTTTTAACTGTTTATCAGACAAGACATCAGAACACTCGGCAATGAACTTGCGTTTTCACATTTTACTTGCCACACCACTAACCTGTTAATCTGCTAAATAATTGTCAGATTAATCGATAATAAAAGTTATTTGTCTTTTGCAGCCTCAGTTAATAACATTAATAGTCATGTAGAATACTAGTTCCTGTTGCCATGGAGCTGTCAGTTGCTGCGGATTGGTCCCTTCAGGTTGTCCGTTAACCACTAACCCTTTTTCGGTTATCGAAAATGAACTGATGCTAATTTAAGTTTTAAATGTAATAATAGTATTATGGTTTGATACTTATGATCGTGGTCCCTCGCATTTTTGGCATCTTGGGCTTTCCACACTTACCCAATCTTCCAGTCTTTATTCTTCCTCCACTTCTTGCAGTCGCCTCCAGTATCCGCACATTTTGAAACCCAGCTTTAACGAGCCTGCGTGCCGCTGCTATACCTGATATCCCGCATCCTACTATAACTATGTTAGGGTTCGCACTCATTACCACCACTGGTTTCAGACTAATACACGCTCTTTACTACACTCGTGTAGGCTGTCTTCTTCTTCTCCTTCTGGTTTACATAGGCAACGATTATGTCTTCCGGTTATGAGTTTCAAAATAAAATTCGTTTTACGGAAAGTGGAATCAAATGGTTGATATAACTATATATTTATGTATATAATATTGTCGGACTTACAATGGGAAATTAAAAAAAAAGGATCAAAACTGATGCAGCAGAACCAGAGATATTGTCCTTTTTTTCCCCTCCCAATTTCGTCTTTGTAAAACCTGGCGCCAACATTACCCAAAATGCAACTCGACCACTGACCGTTCAGTCGGACATTGGGCTGAAAATTAATCACTTTTTGCACAGTTCTCTCTGGTGCCACAAACAAACCGTTAATCCCGCAGATATTTCTAAAAATATCTCTGTTAAAGTTCTTTAATATTCTGATCATATCCCTATTAAGCTGCTAAAATATTACTGAAAATGTTCTTGTAACAAATTGTCATAACTTTTAAAAAATAAATCAATGATTATATACAATCATAAATACCAAAATAAAGTAACACGTCTCTCTATATATATGTATCTATATATAAACAAGACACCAATATAAACAAAACACACACAGGTGGCTGCAGTATTCCCTGAGACCTACAAACAGTCTTTTCTGTGTGAAGTTGGTGGAGTTCCCCTTTAAAATCCATTGGATGAGAAGTTTCTACTCAATTAACTTGGAAAAAAATGGTTTATGCATCTAGTGTGGTCGTCTTTTACAAAATTTGATCTGATTATATACATGGACTGATGGAGGAGTAGTGACAGATGAGCCGATCAGCTTCTCTCCACCCGCTGAGGGAAGCTCCATGGACGGTGGAGTAGTAGTAGGGATGAGTAGCCTCTCCAGCAAACAACACCTGCAGGGGTTGAGACACACCCAACCAGTTAGAACTGAGATACATTTCAGGCAGGGTCATATTCTGTCATTTGATGTATATGTAATTTTCTTGCAAATGTGTTTATGTGTGAAAAAAACCTGTCTGTGCACCTGTGACTGTGATCCCTTTGAAGGCAGAGGTTCCATTATGTTTTCTATGTCCTGTGCTGAACATCCTATTGCTGGGTGACTGTAAGATCCACATGTCCAGGGGTCATGAAACCAATGGGAGCAGACAATTCTCTTCGGTGTGATGGTAGAGTTTCCTAAACACACACAGTTACAGTATGCTGATGGGGACCATCCTCAAATGATCAAGGCTCAGAAACATTTTTAGAAAACATGAAAATCTCAAACAGTGCTAACATTAAAAAGAATAGATTTATCCAGTGATACATCTAGTAGTATGCTAATCAAGCCAGCTAAGCAACAGCAAGCTAAAAATTTCATTATTTAGTGAAACCTGTTCTCTATGCATATGTCAATAAAGCTTTGGATCTTGGATCTTGGATCTTGGATCTTGAATCTTGAATCGAGCACACCACTTGTTATTGACTATCTCTATTCTCAATTCAAATGTGCATCACCTTATGGAACATCTACTACAAAAACAAAATGCCCCTACACGTTCTGGATAACATACTGGCTCCTATACAATCAGTTTCATCTGTTTAAAAATGCTATGGATTAAAAACACTACATTACATGAATTACAGGAGAATCTTATTTTCCTCATGTCCTAACACCCTTCTTGTGACTGACACATCAAGATTAAAGAAATATTATACAGTAATTGATACCTCTTAAATCAAAGCCCATACATTTTCAATAAGGCTGTGTGTGTGAACAATCTACAGTTTGGCCAGCAGCTGGCAGCACAGCCATGTTGTTTCCTAGATCAAAAGGGTTATCCTGTGTACAGTTACCACTTTCAGACATCTCGGACTCGGCCCTGCCAGGCTGAGCTGTGTTAGCTTTTGACATGTGAATACCACTTGTGTCAATTATAACTTGGCATTTTGTATTGATCTAAAATATCTGACTGAGTTAGAAAGATATTAAGGTAATAATTATACACCAAGGTAATGCAAGGACAACTATCCATTTTCATCCATGGTAGCGATCAGGAAGCAGCTAGAGGCTCACAGACTCACCTGTGAATGTATGGACGAGCTCCGTGATGGACTCTCTGACCTCCTGCTCAGTAAGCGTCTCCATGTACTCTGCCTCATGTCCAGCAATCCAGCCACAGAGAACATAGCTATACCTGAGAGTTTAATCAAAATTAGTGAGAGGACTCACATGGCTGCATTGCTCTCTTAATCTATGAATTTCTGTGGAAACTTTACAGAGGGAAAAATTAGCTCCTGTGACTCTTCATGTGTTTAATATGTTACCGTTCAGAAGGTTTGAGCACAGTGAATGTTGCCATCTTCCTAATCCAGGATTTGCTTATGTCTGACACCTGGTCCGAAAAGTCCTCCTGAAGACACAAAGGGTGTGAAACAAGCACTTCATGTGTGTGGATTTGGAAAATAAGCAAGACAACATTTTTACTGCTACATTAACAATGAAATATTATCAGAGGAAGTGATTCATGCAGTAGCATGTATTTTGATGAGGAGAAAGGAGCTCTACCTGATTCTAAATAGTATAAGGTGTAAAGGCCCATCCATAATGTAAAAATGGTTCATATATAACACATCTTTTCCCAGCAGGTGAGTGCAGGAAGTCAGTGTAAAGTTAAGTTTATTAGGATCATACAGGTAGGTTATTTTGGGGTTTTAAAACAATCAAAACTTCTTATTGTGCTGCTGCAGAAATCCTTTAAATCTGAGGCCTGATATTTAAAGAAGCCAAGCTGCAAACGAACATAGAACACTGAGACATAGTCTGTCATGCCAAGAAACATTTAGATACTGGCTCTGTGCATGCTAATCTACTCTGTGGTTCATGGTTGCACTACAGACCTCGTCTTTCCGCAGCAGGTAGATGACCTCACAGTTGGCATCCCACCACGGTGATTCAAACTCTACATATATTTTGTTGCATGTTCCAAATCCTAGTTTGTGGATGGAGTGCAGCTTGTGTGCCGGGAGAGGAGGACAGAACAGGGTTGAATGGTGCTTCTTAAGGTAACCTACCAGAAGAGAAAAAAAAAAGAAGTTTATGCTTACATACTATATAATAGGGGTGGGTGATATGAAAATACACATCTTTGCAAACAAACCATTTCCACTGAGGTAACTCCTTCTTTTATATCTGGTCATTGCAGGTGAAGTAGGACTGATTGTTATTACTGGTTATTTCATTCATTTACAATTTCTTAACTGAACCAGGAAATTTATTATATCGCAGTGTATAGCGACTCCTCAACTACTCATTTACAATCATTCTGTTTCATGCACTGAGATGAACAACAGTACAATATGTAAGCAGAAGGCTACCTAGAGGTACTGTGACAATAACATGATCAGCAGTGATCCTCTCCCCGTCATCACACTCAACCGTCACCGTGTTTACTCCGCTGCCTGTGTTGTTCCAGTGGACACAGCGCACAGGATGATTGTAGGTCACTAAACCACCGGGGAGCTCTGACATCAATTTTTTGATCAGACCTTCATAGCCACTGCAACAAAAAGGTATAAATAAAAGTTACTTTACACATGCATATCACTCGAATGGTCTAAGATATAAATCATTAATACTGTGTCTCAGCATCCTGTGGAGGATCAGTTCATGGGGAAATTGCTTCCTGGTATCACTGTCTGTCAGTTGACTTATCAATTAATCATTTCAGCTCTACTTATTTATAGGGCATGCTACCACCTGATTGGGCGATGCGTGCATTGACCTTTCTCAGGGTGCCGCAGAGGAGCCACATCAGAATAAACCAATAGCAAAGAGGGCTGAGCACGTAGGATCCTTCATTTAATTTCACATATGTTTATACTCTGAAGATGTTGGAGCAAAAACCTTGGGAATGTGCAGTCCAGTCCACTTAGACTCTTGTACATACAAAATCCCCCCAGGTCTATCTCATCCATGCTGTGAGTCGCACTGGCACAGCACTCCACCTTCAGCATGGTGCTGATCGCACACAGCAGAAGCTCCCTGGTGGTTTCCTCCTTATCTCTCCATCTCTCTGCTGCTCGCTGTCGTGCCTGCATATAGTACACCCACACAGAGCACCACATGCAAACAAACAGTTTATTATCCTCAGTTGTTTATCCTCAAGAACATCTCAAATCTTAGCACCAGGAAAATAATTTGAAAGTCAATGTACCTCTGATCGTAAGAAATGCCCTATGCTGGCCCACTGTGTTTCTTCTTGATTCTTAAATTGTGAAGTATCATCCACAAGCTCATAAAACAACTCCAGAGCAGGATTCACGTGTTCAGCACTCAGCCTCTCACCTGCACATCATCCACAATATATAAAATATTAATAAAAATAACAATCTATGCACATGCACAGAGTAATAAATAGTCACACCACTGGACATCATATAGGCTAATCCACACATAACCAGATGTGAGAGTAGTGACGTAGGAAATATGATGTGTTAAAACAGACTGGTGACATGTTGTATTTCTACATCTGGTGACCTGAACTGCTGAACCAGTTGGGCACCCAGGGAGGACGTTCATCAACATCCATGGCCTGGTTCTCCGGGGTGAGGGCCTCTGGATCCAGGAGACCATAGTCACGAGCCAAACAAAACACTGGGTTCCCCTCTGATGGGCCATGGATATAACTTGCACCTATCTCTGTAGTGTTATTACCTGCAGAGGAAAACAGGTCTGTGTGTAAATTCAGTCCTGGGTGAGGGGTGGGGGTGGGGTTAACTCACATTCAGATATCTCTTAAATGTAATAATAGTATTATGGTTTGATACTTATGATCGTGGTCCCTCGCATTTTTGGCATCTTGGGCTTTCCACACTTACCCAATCTTCCAGTCTTTATTCTTCCTCCACTTCTTGCAGTCGCCTCCAGTATCCGCACATTTTGAAACCCAGCTTTAACGAGCCTGCGTGCCGCTGCTATACCTGATATCCCGCATCCTACTATAACTATCTTTGTGTCCGAACTCATACTCGGTTCTCATAAAAAAACTAATACTGACGTAGACTACAACCTATAAAATAATATAAAATATTATTAATCTTTTTTCATGTACAATCTCTGTCTCCAACTCATCTGAAGTTCAACAAGACTTACATGACATGATAAAGACAAAGTATTTGGACTGATTTTGATTGATTTTAGCCCATGCATACCGTGACTTTACTGCACCTGTGTCACATGTTTGGCTTCACCTTTAGCTCAAACAAGCGCAGGTGATGAAGGGTCACTTTAGCCACAGCCGGATGGTTGCTAGAAGAAAAAAAAAACGCTAAGACTTGTTCTCATGTCAAGCTATGTAGCTGCCAGTACCAGCTGTTGTGTAGGTTGGTAAACAGTCCGCCATCGCTGACGTTACAGTAGACAGCTGATAGGGCTACTCAGAGGGGGTGCACGCCTGAGGAAGTCAACCAGACGTTTTCATGGACAAGGTCCCCCCTTAACAGAGTTTTATTCCGGGACTGCCTTTATAATTCTGTTAGGGAAATATATTCAAATATCAAGAAGAGCCTGTGATTTCAGCGTATTAACTGTTGTGCTTTTGTTTTTGCTTCCCTAGGTTGACTTTGAAACAGAAAATAACCTTTCAATTATTTATAACTCTTTGTTATTCTTATAAGGTGTTTCTTATATCGACACTTACGTTACAATTCTATACATTGTACAGAATTTAGAGAAAGCAACTAATCTTTTCTCACAAACTTAGATTAATATATAAACTTTATTCATATTTCATTTTTCAAATAGAAACTGCTTTATTATGTTCTGTTTATAGCACCACAGCTCATATCAAACAAATGACGGTTGATGCACATTCTTTAGGGGAGGCAGGGAGGAGTGGTTGTGCGGTATTTCTTACAGTTTGAAAGAACGCCACCCTTTTCCTGTAAATGATGGAGGGAGGGGTGAGCAGTTTTATTCATGAAAGGCTGATACAGATGCTCAAGTTTCACACTACCACATGCAGCTACACAAATAAATCTGAGCTTACAGAGCAGAACATGTGACGAACAAAAAGTGGTAGACTAAATGAAATGAATTTGGAAAAACAGGGTGAAAAGAAATAGAAAAGTTTACCAACACACAGGATCCTTTGAAACTATTTTGCTGGTGTATGGAGGATACATCCTTACTTATTTGTATATAAAGGAATTAATTAATATAATAATTAATTAATTGAGACATGTTTAGCTAATTCTTTACTTGGTTTTTTAATTTTTGGCTGGACCGCAACAGCTGGGCCAGCCCTATTATTGCGACTGACTGACTGAATAATAGAGTTAAGTGATCTTAGCTCCACCATGGTCAGTCTAATGCCATGTGACTAAGTTCCCCAATTGGCTGTGGTTCTTTTAAAACGAAGAGGCACACACAGTTTCTATTAGGGTGGCATTTACAGCCTCCAGTGTTGCCAACTTTTTTTTTTTTTTTATTCAAAAAAGCACCTAGTGACAAATCTGTCGACTTTGCTCTGTTGGCAGAAAGGTGTGTAAAAGACCAGTCTGGTAAAACTAGCACTTATGGCCTTAACCTTTTTAAAGCAGTGTGTAAGTCTGTGTACTTGAGCTGGTACCTATCAAAGACACAACTGCTAAGTGTGGTTTCTTATTGTAATTGTCATATTTGTGCTGCTTTCTTGGTCTCTTGTCTGTTGTGCAGCAGTTTCAATAAAGTGCTGCCATTTACTGTAGAGAGAGGAAAAGAAGGTTTCATGTTTACAGTTAAAACAGGAATTTCCTGAAAATAAATTCAGCCTGTAAGTGTTTGCACACACGGTCAGTCACAGGATGCCATAGCCCACTGTTTATCTCCAGCCTCAAGTGTGCAACTGCTCCACTATCATCTGCAGTTGCTGTGGTAACCATGGTTAGCAAGCCTCTTATGTGAGTGGAGGAAGGTATTCAGTACCAGTCTGGATACTGTACCAGACAGTTAAGTACTTTTTGCTTGATCCTGCTGACAAACAAACATGGATGAAAACAGAACCTCCTTGGTGGAGGTAATAAAAGTGAATCAGTATTGAGAAGATTCAGAAGATTTAATTTAGCCAAATGAAACAGATAAGTTTCACATATAACAGGGACATATACAAAGCCATTATCATGTCTTCATGTCATTAGCTTTTTATGACATTAAAGATTTCCAACCCCAGTTCATGTAGGGTGTTTTAGAAAAGGCTCAAGCTTTAAATATACTCTGTGTTCAGCCACACTTTTCCAAACACAATAACTCAAGAACTTTATATGATAGTACCTCAATATTGAGGTCTTCCTACTAGAGTAAATTAACTCATTATGTATTGAACACAGCAATTAGCATTTTATTGAGATAAATTGATTTTCTTTATAAACTGCTCCTTAAAGCTTCTCTAACAAACCTGAAGTGTTATGTGACAAAATATTTTTAATGCAACATCTTGATAAACTGGGGTATGACAAAGCACCTCTTGTTGACTTTGATGCATCATGTGGTTTGAATACACCCCATTCATACATCACTTATTTAAAAAAAACCAGAACAACCTGCTTAAGTTTTAGATTCACTTTCATTGTGAGACCACTGCAGCTTTTTGAGAGCGTGGTTTGGTACAAATAGGGCCATAGAGAAAGCAGTTGTGGCAGACACACTGAACTCTTCAACGCTTCGACTTTTCAACTCCTCTCTTCAGCTGCAGTATCTTCTCTGCTGGACGGCAACTTTGACAACCCAAACATGGCCAACAACTTAGGTGAGTCAAGTTACTGTATTTATATTTTAAAGTACCATTATTTTATGGTGGGATAACAGTGATCACTGCTGAATCTAATTGTATGTAATGTACTGCTGTAGATCATATAGACCAATACTTCTGTAGACATATACAACTGCAAAGAACTGCATATTTATAATTTTTTATTTTTGTATTTCATAATCTGATTTTATTCAGTTAGAAAATCATGTGTCAAAGTTAAATCTTTTCTATGTTGTAGAAGTAGTCATTGTAGTTTTCTTTATTCAGTCATCACACATAATACAGTAAATATAAACAATATAGACAGAAAAAACAAAAACAAAAAAAGGAAGTCAACTGTCTATGTATTAAGTAGTGACTTAACAGGCTCACGCTCAAGCAGAATGCTTATATATGCCTGCCTATATTCTTATCAATTAAGCTCCCCACTTCCCACACTTCCAAACTGTTAGGGAAACTCTTATCGTAGGTGGTGAAGAAAGAGCTCTGGAGTCCAGGATGTCTTATGCTGAGAATGTTTATTCAGGATTCATCAATACAGGCTTCTGTGCATGATGTCACCTCAATTCTGAAGCAGAAACCCCTAAGAATAGTCATTATACACTTAGAGAAAATACTTAAGAAAGCCTTCACTCCATAATTGGTCAAATATCTAGAAGAAGAGGGAGAAGAGGGATGTATGAATACACTATTGGTTCATTAACCATAAACAAGGAAACATGACTATATACGCCCAAGTGCTGATTCTCAGAACACCCAGCCACTTGTTACTGACCATCCATGGTTTTCTGTTATCAATCGTGGCACCAACAGTATCAGCAAACCCAAAGCTGTGTCTGGAGGAGCTGCCTAAACATCTCAAGGCTTGTAAGATTTAGTTACACAGAGAACTAGGGCCTCACACTGACCTTTTACCCTGAGTCATTCATTAGGTGGACAAGAGAAAATGCCCTCACAAAAACAATAAGTTATATAGGGTATAAGTATAAATGAGCAGTAAATTACAAGGCCTTAGAATTTAATATATCCCTAGCTTTATACTTAATTGCTATTGATTTAGATATTTTTTCTTTAATTGATTCACTATATTGTTTCTATACTAGTTTATGATCAATCACAACCCCAAGGAATTAAGTCTCAAAGACTCAAAAAATGCCCAAATTACAAATCATAGCATTACAAATATAATTAATGTAAAATTTGGAAGGTTTTGGATCAATTACCGATCCTAGGGGTACTCCACAGGTGACCTTCCTCAATGCAGACTCAGTATCCATAATTTACACACATTGCTGTCTTCTAAGTAGCTTTTCAGGGAAATGTAAGCTGTACCTCTTCTTGTAAATACCCCGTTCCCCTGCACAACCCCTTTAAGTAAAAAGTATGTACAACCTGCTATATATTGTTATTCAGTGTCACTTATTTCTTTACACAGGATCTAGCAGAACAAATGATGAGGAGCTGAGGATTGTGATGGTGGGGAAAACAGGGAGCGGGAAGAGTGCCACTGGAAACACCATTCTGGGACGAGAGTGCTTCGAATCAAAGTGCAGTGCTAAATCTATGACCGTAGACTGCTCTAAGGGCACAGCTACGGTAGATAGACAAAAGGTTGCTGTCATCGACACCCCAGGCCTGTTTGACACCAGGTTTGACCAGATACAAACAGCCAAACAAATTGGTAAATGCATCTCCTTCGCTGCTCCTGGACCCCATGTCTTCCTGGTGGTCATCAAGGTGGGCAGATTCACATCGGAGGAAAAGGAGTCCGTGCAGAACATTCAGAAAATGTTTGGCAAGGATGCAGATCGATACAGCATGGTTCTCTTTACTGCTGGTGACTCTCTGGACAACAGTATTGAGGAGTTCTTGAATGATTGCGAAGAGCTTAAGGGGCTTGTGGCCAAATGTAATGGCCAGTACCATGTCTTCAACAATAAGGTTAAGGATCGCTCTCAGGTCAGTGAGCTATTCCAGAAGATCAGAAATATTGCCGAGAAGAATGGGGGAAGCCACTACACCAACGACATGTTCCAAGAGGCAGAGAGGGTAATCGAAGAGGATAAAAAACGCATCCTGAAAGAGAAAGAAGAGCAAATGCGCAAAGAACAAGAGGAAATGGAGAGGAAAATGAAAGAAAAATATGAGGAGGCGATGAAGAAAATTAACAAACAACTCCAGGCTGAGAGAGAGATAGAGAGGAGAGAGAGAGAGGAGGAGAGGAAGAGGGAGAAGCAGGAGATGAATGAGGAGAGAAGAAAGGAGAGGGAGGAGAGAGAAGCAGAGAGAGAGAGAGAGAGAGAGGCGAAAGAACGGGAATTTGAAAAAATGAAGAATGATTTAAAAGCAAAACATGACAATGAACTTCGAAATGAAAAAGAGAGATTAAAGGATTCTTATATAAGTGGGGCCAGGATTCAAGCTGAAAAACTCAATCCATTTAAAGTGCTTGATCCCTGTTCAATCTTGTGATCAATTCAGCAAGATCAACTTCCGTTTGCTGATACCCTCAGTGCGGTTCCATAAATCGGCCTGTTATATGTCAAGTCAAATAAGAAATTATACTAGACAATTTTAAACCCTTTTCATAACTTCTAAATTTAACTCTTGCAAAAATGACGCTGTACTCTATTGTATTTTGGATAATATCCTTTAGAAACTGTTTGTTCCTAAATGTGTGTATCTCTGATTAGTTACACTGTTTCTTTCTTGTTGTTTTTTCATAATAAAAATATTAATGTAGAATTTACATTCATCAGGGAACCAGACACCTGACTCCAAATGAACACCAATGTGACTGGATATGTGGACATGTATTTGTGAAGTTTACTGCTGCTGTAACTAAAAATGAAATAATTGGGGAAAAAAATCAACTGGTGTCTACAAGATTCAGCTGATTGAACTTAAAATCTGATAATCAAAGTGAATCAACTATTCTGCTCGGCTCTAATAAACCTACTGCCAGTGCTTTGCCAGACTCCTTGTGTATTTTGCCTTTTGATTCATGTTTTGAATTCACTCTGTTTAAGAGGGACAGGCCCAGTTTGCAGCATATTCACAAGGCATTTCATCACAACATCACAGAGCCACTATCACAGAGTCACAAATGGCATACTCTTAAATCCTCATACACATACCCATACTGAGTCAGCAACACACATACCAACTCACACACATGCCCATCCCCAAGGCTGGCCAGACCAGCTGGACATCCTAATTAATTGTTAAGTGTATTACTTGTTTAATAACTTAATGGCCTGTTCTGGTTATGGTGAATAGAGGGGCATCATATTGATAGATGGCAACAGTTTAAATGGAGAGGCAAGGCAGTGCCTCTTGCTCTATCTAAATACAACAAAATCATTTCTGATGAAGAATTCTAGCCCATCAAATATTTTGGGTTAATGCTGTCATGATGATCAGCCATACACCAGCCATACAGAAGAACATCAATCACTGAAGACTGAGTACAAGCCGAATAGATTGGTGTGATAGGCTTACATTTTATTATATCAGGGTAAAATTATCTTCCCTGTGACTATCCCTGCCTATTACACCCACGGTCCCATGTATGCGCTCCATGTAGTGACACAGACATCTGCTGGTGATTTACTGGTACTACTGACAATCAATGACGATCCTTACGAACTGCTATCATCTGCCCTCTGATGGAGTTACCCCTGGCATTTCTCAGAACCAGCACAAGATGGCGACCTTTCTCAAGGGCCTTATAGATTTGTTTTGAACATTGTGCTCTGATGGAAAGATGGTCTCCACTTGCATTGAACAGAATCACGTAGGTCCTCTCTTTGCCTGAACAAAATGACACTGGTCCACTGTTAAATGGTATGGAGCAATGCTCACACTGATGCATGGATGTATATATTGCCAGAAAAAGACATCATCATTGTGAGTAGTTATTTGTTAAGTGTTTGATGATCTCTTGTAAATATGTTATAGGTAATAGGTAATATATAGGTTTAACTGCTTCTCATCCTCTTCATCACTGGTGCTGGAGTCTGATGATGATCCCAGTATGTTGTCAAGTAACAAATGTTGCGCCCTTGGCATGCGTTACTGGGCTGTCTTGTGCTGTGCTGCGGGCTTCATTTTCACTTACACTGGGCCGTCTCGCTTCCTTTTTGGCACCAAATGCCATGGTTTGTACTGTTGGACCTTGAATGCTTCGTCAGCAGGCAAGAACTTAAGTTTTCTAAATCTGCGCTCTAGAGCAGCAGCAATTAAGACTGTGTTTGGGGATTCAGGTTGAAACACAGATAGTCATGGTATGACCTTACTGGTGCAGTCTCAAAACTTGAACCCTATAAGGACTTTTAAGACTTTGCACAAGCTGTGGAAGTGCACAGAGGGTAACATATTGTTGCCTACTCAGAAACACCGTAGCTCTTTCAAATGGCTCAGATAAGCAAGTTTTCCTATCGGAGTCACTGCTGAGTCAGACAGTGCAGCAGTCACTGGCCAGCTGTGTTCCAGCAGCCTGGATAATGTGATAAGTGCTGTTGCATTGAGTATTTACGCCTTGCACCAGCATGTGTTAAAGTCTGCCTATTTGCTGCTGCTTATCCTTTAGCTTGGTGAATGCCAGATCACTCTTCTTAAAATGTTCGACAAAGCATCCTGCAGCAGCCACACATCTGGAGATAGCTTTGTGGTTCTTTAGAGCACTTTGCACAACCAAGGTCAGGGTTTGACCTGCACATCATGCTGATGTCCATCCATGCTTTTCTGCCAACATCCTCACCAATACTATGACATTAACACCAAAGAACTGATTTTCTCTGGTGGAACTTCAAATTTGTCGATATCACCCTCAAGCCACTCGGCAATATTTGCAGCCACGTGTCTCTCTTCAAGAGGCATTGTTGAAAATGAACTGCTTTACCGAAAAGATTTAATCAGTCATTACCAAACTTTGCATGTGTCATCATAAAGACAGTACAAAGCGAGCAACAATGGCTTTATATCGTGGACAGATATGAGATGTGTTTACATTGCTTGGAGCCTTGACAATTCAACACTTTGAGTGGGTAAATTCGGTAAATCAGATCAAGGATGTTCCATAGAGTTGTGGGTTAACCTCACTTCAATATGTGGCAGAGGTCCACAGTTCAAATCCCAATATAGGCTTGGCCTTCTGAACGATATCATGAGTGAGATCACCACAGCAAGCTTTTATTTTAGAAAGAAGATTTTTTCAAATACTGGCAATTAACTTAGTTGTTGGTCCCTCATCCCATATGAATCCAATGACTGACCAGGGACATTTAACCCAAGTACCAGGACTGTAAAATGTTATTGTTGTTATTATTTAGCCTGTGTGTCAAAATCTCCAGGACCTTGAGTATGTGTTCAAACATGCTGTGGCACATGCCTTCTCAAATAGGTCAGAGGTAAGCTGTTAGTTGAGGATTGAAACCCTGCCTCTGCCTTACTGTTCTTGGACTGACTCTGTCTCATTATTTCAGCTTGGAATCATGAAAATTTGATTTCATTTTGTTAAGAAACAAATATCCAAATATTTATTATTATTATTAATTATCTGACTCAACTGACTGTAGGTCTGTGTTTAAGGTCAAGGTAGGTCCACAAAATATTACAACAGTTTTACTGTTTGTGAAACTGTGGGAAAAAGGAACAGTCCCTCTCTCTCAGGATACCCCCATTGTGTAATGTTGATAAGTTCTCACACACACACACACACACACACACACACACACAGGCTCATGGGAACTAGTTGGCACAGAGGGTCACTCAGAAGAACAATGCTAATCTGAGCTCCAGTCACAGTGGAAGTTCGGGAAATAATAAAGACGACTGTTTTCTTCGTGGGAAGTCTGAGCTGTGTATTATGTTTGGTGTCAGCAGAGATCCAGCAGCAATTATAAAGGCCACACTAAAACTGATTTATTATGTAAAAGGGTCCAAGTCATACATTACCAAAAACAGCTCGTATAAATATCCGTATTTGCAGTAAGAATTTTCATACAAAATGTGAATACATTAATTTCAGAGTTATCAAAACAGTGACGCACTTAATAGTAATAACATTAAAAGAACAGATCAATCATACAAACTGCTGGGATATGTAATTCTAAAAGTAGAAGCACATTGGTGCATGTATTGGTTCTATTGCAGCCTTTACTTTTCCCCTTTTACCTTTAACTCTACATTCACTACAGTGTCTGGAAATGTTCCCACAGTACATCAACAATCATTAGTGTCACGCCCCCACGCATTGCCTCCGCCCCCACGCACCATCACCCCTAACCCCCTACTGGCCGCTGATTACACCTCGAATCTACCTCCCCTCCCTCACATTAAGCCCCCCACCCCCCCACCCTTCTCTCACACACACACACACACACACACACACACACACACACACACACACACACACACACGGGTTACAACCGTACACAGCCTGCTCTACACTCTGTCACTGGTGTGAGCTCTGTCTTCGAGTTGATGTAGAATCATAGACTTCAGAGCACTGTACCTGAAGAGGTGAGAAAGCGCACATGACACATGATTATGAATACACATTCAAATACATACATTGATTTCCATAATATAAGTTTTACACAAGTTACTACTGTATGTAAAACTTTAAAACTGGTCACAAATATATAGTTTCATAAAAAAAAAACAGATGGGCAATGCAGTTTTTAGCAAATGTAAATAGTGAATTTGTTTGCTACTATTTTCAGCTGTCGATTTATACACATTAGCCAGTATTTATGGCAGCAGGAAGGTGTATGTTGGATTGACTCAAAATAGACTACACCTTATGTTTATAGGTTAACGCTAGAAGTTACAATGTGTGCATGCATGCAGATTGTAAAATATGCCTGTACGTGTAAAAAAAAAAAAAAATCATGTTTGAGCCCACATGCCGCAAGTCAACAGTCATCGTCACAGTGACACACACACACACACACACACACGCACACACACACACACACACACACACTACACATATAGGGGTAAAAGGGCTGAAATATTAGTCATATGAGTCAAATGATTACATAATCATGAGAGCAGTGAGTGATGAATTTTTCACACAAACACTGTCCTCATTGAAGGGAAGCAGCCTTGTTTTGATTGCGTAATGCCAGCGGGAGACATCGATATTGGCTTCACATAATGAAATTAGCTATGTCATTAAGGAAGGCTTTGTCTAGACTGAAGCTAGTTTTGAAACCCTGAGAGATTGTTGACTTACTTTTTGGTTAGTTTGTTTATCTCACGTTCTTCTTCCTCTTTAAGTTTCTCGACAAAGCTGTCTAAAACAGGGATCTCAAACTTAATGTACTGGGCAACCTGTGGAGAAAATGATTCAAACATATACGCTCAAGTGAGCTACGCATCAATTATCTGAAACTGCATCCACCCATACTGTAGTTACATAGGCATACAAATAGCTGTCATATTTCTTTTGTCTGTCCATAAAATAAGAATAAAACGATAAAAATGTAAAATAAAATACTAAAAGATGAACTGCGTTGACTGTCTGCAACAAAAGATGATCCTTTCCAATAGAGGGTAAAACACAGTAGGATATCTCTACAATTATATTACACAAATTCATCACAATTACAACAATCAAACAAAACTCACATTTTTTTTAATTAAAAATTTAAAGAGCACAACAATTAAATCTGTTTCCACAGCTTCCCTGTTGTCCTGGATGTGTAGAACCGTCTTTATAAAGACTCTTTCTGTAGTTCATCCAGAGTAACATGGAGGTTAATTCTGGAAAGAAACATTACTGTGGAATAATTTAAATGCAATCTTTTAATGCTCTAAGCAACACAAACAAAATTTTAGTCACCTCCATTGTGTTGAAGTCAAGGCAGAAATAATAGGTTTCTATTTCAAATCCTGCACACACAAAACCAAAACTATATCTAGATATCACTTGAAGTAAATGAGATTTATTTTTTTTTGTTATTGAGATGATCTGACATTTAAACTTGAGTTAATGAGTTGATATATATATATATATATAGGCCTACGTATGGGAGTGATTCAATTATAGACAATCCAGAAAACATCTCCAGCAACAATCTGGTTTTATTTATATTGCTCAGTGCAGTCACAACATACAGTTGGTCAAATTAGTCTATTGTTACATCAGTCCCAAAACAGGATATCTTTCCTCGGCTTGCTAAATTTAACCCAACTGTCTATCACTGGTCCATTGTTTCCTTGTGTGTCCATATGGAGGACTGCACATAAAAAAGAAAAAGGGTCATGTATCGTGAACAAGATGAGAGAACAGAGAGAGTGGTGGCACGAGGCCCAGACTCACATCATACGTGACTTCCTCTCCCAGGTCGGCCTCCATGATGAAGATCTTGGAAATCTTCTCACAGGGTCCGTAAAGCACCCGAGCCACCAGTGGGTATTCACCATCCCTCAGGCAGGTCCTCTCTACAAGGGTCACAGTCAAAGAAAGCCACTGACCACAAACATACACACTCCACACAGATACACAAAAAACACATTTCTAGTGACAAAACCACATGAACTATAAAACTTACCGCCAGACTCGTGCACCATATAAAGGACAAACTCTTCAGAATTATTCTCCACCTTCAAAGACAGAAAAAAAATACAGATTACTTCTAGTTTTAAGTTTTACAGAAACACCACCATCAGCTCACTGCTTACCCTAAACTTGTGCAGCAGCAGGTTGAGGACTTGTTCAGTCGTCATGGAGCTGTTTACTCGTACATTAGTGACCGAACCATAGGCGGGAGTAAATACAGATGTCTGAGGGCAAGAGAAACAAACATGTAGAAATCTATAACTGAGAGGACACAAAGTATTAGAAACACTCGTGACTCCTTGATGTGAGCAGGGATTCCTGGACTTGAACACCTTGGGACATTTTGAACCGGAAATCTAAAACAGAAAGGAAATCCCTCAGTCTGCAGCTGGAATCTGTTCAATAACACACACACACACACACACACACACACACACACACGCAGTGTAGTCAGGAGAAACTGATGAAGGAACTCAGTGTAACCTTGTATTCTGTGGCACATTAATAAAATCCGCCTACAGCAGGCTATTGTGAGACCAAGCACAAGTGCAGGCACACACCCGCACAGGAAACCACTGCCCCTCTGCACCTGGAGATGTGTCAACAGCGGGATAAATTAACGTGTGTGCTTGTGTCTGTGTTCTGTTTATTGTACCTTGTGGTTGTAGAAGTGTCCGTTGATGGAGAACCTGTGTGTGCGCAAACGCTGCAAGTCTCTGGCGGTGTGTGTCTTTGACCTCCTCTGAACCCGCATGAAGGAAGCGTCACTCCTGGTCCTCAGCAGCTGAGGAGAATCCTCTTCCTCCTGACCACCCATGTCACCACCTCAGGGATGCACGTAAACAAAAACACACCCCTCTTAACACATGCATCAGCTGTTTTTATATACGTCAGACAAAAACTTTGTACTATATACTATTTACTTTGATTCAGTCAGTCAAACTAAATTGAAGTAACTGCATTCACTGGTTCAGCTTACTTTCTTTTGAAAAAATGAACAAAACTTGGCTCATTAACAGTATTTTTCCTGGTTAAAAATGAATAATTTTCTTCTAAAAGCCCTTCTATATTCTCTATGCCAGGACATGTAGGCTTTTCTTATATATTTCCTTTCTTATATAGAATTTGCCCAACATTTGAAACTAATTTTAAAGCCAATATGCACTATATCATGCTCATATTCACTGTCCACATATTTTTTGAAGAGCCATTTTACTATGAAGCTTATAAATGTGTCTGTATCCAACCAAAATACCTGCCGTCCTGCATCACATGTCTTTCAACATAATATAAGTGGCAGAAAGTGGCAAACTCCATATGAATAAACAAATAAAAAGATACCAAACTTTCACCCTTTGCATGGTATACATTCATTAATGAGATAAGCACCAACATCACCATATATTAAATGATACTTAAATGGTTTCTAGATTATCTTTTTTCCAATCCCATCCAATGCAAAACAGTTTTAACTCAGACACTAATGTTAGGCCTGTCAGTTTGTTTTAGTTCAACGCTAAAAGTAACTTTGGTATAATACACACATATTATTAACGTGTACTCCTTTGCTCTGTCCAGGTTAAATAAAAAATACCTAACCATTTCAACTGAGCTGTGAGGGTTCAGTTTTCATCAGAATTTTAAATCCAGCATTAAGATCAACACGTGACAAAACTTTATAGTGAGAGCCAAAACAGTGATCCGTGTTAGCAGGGGGAGTGAATAAAATCGGTGCACTGTCTATCTGTGAGATGTCAGCAGTTGATAAAACTGCTTTAAAAGGCCAATGTCAGCCACATGACTAAGTCTAACCCTGCTTATTTATAGTGTTGGTGATCTGATCTGGCCTCTCACAATAATCTGCTCTCAACATGTGAGCCAACCTTTCCACTGGAAGCGCTGAATGAAGCACTTGTGGAGCTCTAATCGGTTTCAGTATGTGTGTGTATAATCTACAGTAATCCATCAGGTGTGTGTGTGTGTGTGAGTGTGACTGTGCATGTGTGACAATGACTGCACGTGTATATCACTCACTCGCTGGTCCAATTTCTCTGCCCAGTGAATTATTGTTAGACATCGCCGATGACACAGAAGACCTATCGTTTCTGTAGAAAGACAGAGGGAGAAGATGCTCACTGTTTGTTCTTTAAAGTGTACAAAATTTAAAATGCATCCACGTGATTTGCAAAAATAATTCAGTAGTTCTTAACTCCTCTTTTTCATTAAGCCTATTTACTTCCACTACACCACTGTCTACATTTTTGACTAGCATTGCAACTATCAATTATTGGCATTATTGATTAATCAGCCAATCATTTTCTTGATGAATATAATTATTGTTTTGGTCATAAAATGTAAGAAAACAGTGAAAAATCCTAAATATCCTAAACCCAAATATATTGAATTTATTATCATATGTGACAGAAAACCATCAAATCTCAGAGAATACCAGTGAATGTTATGGACATTTAAAATGTGTTTCCAATGCAAATATTTATCTTTTGGATGTCATTCCTTTGTGTCTTATTTAGTTTTTTCCAGATTTCATTAGCTACCTCTTTAGACTGCTTTCTGAGCTGCTGTAAATTTCCCCTGTCTTATATTATCTTATCTTAATTCCAAAGATATTGGCAAAAAAAAGAAGAAGAAAATCCCGAATTGTCAGTACTCAGGTAAAAGGAGTTTCCCCAGCTTCCTCAACTAAATAATACAGGGTGGGGTTAGAGTTTCAAGATGCAGACTTTCTCCGCTACTGTGTGAGAGGTCCCTGCTAATATTGCTGGCCCACATCTGTTTGTTCAGTACATGGAGGCATCTGTGTGTCAGTGTGGATAAGGTCGTTGTACCGGTTGAGACGGAATCTTTCATTGTCATCGTACATCTGAAGCCTGATTGGTCGGCGTAGGCCCCAGTAGATGTTCAGCAACCCCTCGAGGATGAGCCCCCCATCCTCCTGCACACACATACACACAGAAACACACAATCATATAACAATAATTATCAGCAGGCACGGTCAGGGGGGGATATCCTGCTGGCCGCCCGCCATAGTGGCTCAGTGTCAGGTGTACGTGCAGGAGCAGCCGCTCACAGCTACAGGGTGAGCCCTCTCATCTTGGAGAAAACTCGTAAGGCTCCACCCACCCTTTTCCAACACAGTACAAGGGTGAAGTCACGTCTGAGGAGGCAGAAATAATGGGAACAGAGCCGTGGCTGCTTTGGGTCACGTACACACAGGGGGAGCCGTTTTGATTTCACAAAACTGAAACTCTAAAATTAGAAGAAAATGTCCGCACTGCTCAGAAAATAAAAACAGTGTTTCAATGTAAAACCAAAACAAAGTGGTCAGCCAATTTTTTTTTGTGCAAATTATTAACTGAATCAGTAATAAATCAGATGTTACACCACAATCGTAACCGTAATCACACATAACACACGTAATCTTTGATTGTCACACCCAGTAGATACTATATCTAATCACTATATCTAATTTGATATCACATAATACAATGCAGCCCTTTGTGGTTTGTGGTTACCCTGCAGCATTTTTGATTAAACCCAAGTAATTTATGGTTTGTTGGTTTGTTGAATAAATGAAAAGATATTTCAGGATAAAGTATTATAAAAGTATTACAAAGTGTGACTAATTTAGTATATATATGAGTGTGGACGGCTGTATCTGTACATACTGTACAGCGTTTAAGATTAAATGGTTGATCTTGCAGTACCACGAGTCATTAGGATGTGAGAGCTTGTCATTTAAATACTTAACTACAAAACTTTGGCCTCACTCTGCTCAGGCAAATGGTGAATTTTTCATAAGCAAATTGTCCGGGGGGTAGAAGAATAACACATCCCACTCAACCAAAGACAAAGCCAGAGAGAGGGAGCTATGCGGTGCAAGTAACCACGGTCAAAAAGTCCAGAAAAATGAATTAAAAGGTGGATGTGCAAACCCTTTTTGTACTTTTTGATTAATTTGTCTGACAGAGAAACATATGTCACTTAAATAATCAAAAGACATCTGACTGGTTGTAATTAAAGCTCTACAATTTGAGAGTTAGGCAGAAAAGTATTCCACTGAGGACACTCACTGGATAAACTTGTGGATGACATATTTGTTATGTTATACAGCAGAGGAATGAAAATGAAGCTTGACAGCTGAAAGAATACTACTGCTGGAGATAAACACAGTCAGTTTTTATTACCGTTTTGAGATGGATAAAAATCATTTTAATATGTCAGTAGATGGATGTAAATGTCAGAGGAGGGAGAGGAGAAGCAGAAAGTAGGTTTTTGGAGGTGTGTCAGATCGCTCCCAGGGCTTCATTGTTTCGGGAACATAAACATTCAGAGCAGCTGCAGCACTGAACCTTGCTAACCCGCCACTCCTGAGTTTCCTGAACAGGCATGGACACACCCTCACGCACACACACAAACACACACACACACACACACACACACACACACACACACACACACACACACACACACACACACGCACACACATTCCCATAGATGTGAGTAAGGTCAGCAGGGCTATTTTTGGCAGTCGTGGTTAATCGCTCTGCTGCAGTGTGCCTCTATAAAGCCTGGATACACACTCCGGTCCAGTCATACTCAACTGAGCGGACCAGACATCACTCTGTTTCACTCTGCGTGTCATACACATTAACTGAAGAATCAAAGGTGAGAGTGTTTCTTTCTTTCTTTTTCCATTATCAGTTATTCTTTATTACAGTTCAGCTATATGTACAATTGGAGGGATTTTAGAGGGATTGTAGCAACTTAACATATTGTCTTGTTATCTGACTTTTTGATTTTTCCTCTCCCTAATGCAGCATGAAACGCAGGCAGTTGTTGCTTTCTCTGCCTCTCTTACCCACCATTACTGAGACGCTGGAGGACTTGCCTGTCCATCCATCATCCTCCCAGTCTACCCAGGGCTCCCAATCTCTAGAGGAGTACATGACCAGTATCCAGGCCCTCGCCCGCCCTGTTGAGGCCCCGAGCTGCGGCCCCGTCAGACTCCAGAGGTCCCCCAGGCTACGCCAGTTCTCAAAGGCTCAGATGAAGCTTTCTGTCTCAGCCTCGCTTCCTCGCGGCTCTCCCCGCGCACTAAGGACTTCCAGACCTTCCAGTCTGAGTCTAAACAGCACAGAGGATTTTTCTCTCAAGATGGGCAGAGAACGAGACAGCAAGGGCAAAGACCCCATGGACTGGCTGTTTGGACAGATAAGGACTTGAAGGGAGACGTTGTTGCCGTGTCCTGTCGGCACTTTGGTGGAATATCTCACAATGAAACAAGGCTGGAAGAACCTGCTCTTTGTATGAGGATTAAAACAGAGCACCGTATGAAGGGACTTACAACGATGTCTGAGCAAAGACGAAATCACCATATGTGAAGATCTATTTATTTCTATGCACTGAGGACTGAAGTCTACGTGTTTACATTGTTTAATATTTTGTAAAGATGTAAAGGATATAGTTTGTAATAAAATACTAAAATAACCATGAACATATTTATTGTCTGCCATTTCTAGTTGCTCTGTCTACACCGAGTATTTTCTGGTTCCAGATTTTCAAACGTGAGAATTTTCTGCTGGTTTTCTGTTTTCTATCATAAACTGGGAACTTGTGATTAACATTTTTATTATTTTCTTACATTTGAGAAACTTAATGATTAATTTAAAAAAGTAATCAATATTTTTGGTCATCAGTATACTTAGCTGCTGCCCTGGTTGAAAAGCTACTGCCAGGGCTGCATCCACGTAGCACGGATGTACTAAAACACTGTAAGAGGTTGTGTCTACAGGCCAGTTTTGGATTGCAACATTCAAATACTGGACTCAAGTAAAGTTTTACAGTATTTGAGTAGGGAGACCGAGTATGGTGGTAACATGGGAAGACTTGTAACGCCACCAATTCCACAGCGATAATATAGGAGTCATGATTATTTCAGTGTTTACCCACTTCCTCCTCAGTAGTACTTATACAATTACAGGTAAATTCATATGTAGTTTCTCGGGCAAAATGTGATGCATGTTTCGCCTGCTACTTTAAAACCACTATGCTAATAAAGCTAACTAAAAAATGGCTGACAGGGATGGAGTACGTTGTAACAAATCTTTGAAAAGTATTACAGCCATCCTTTTAGATACAACCATGAACACTTCCTTGCAAAAATGATCATTTCAACTAATCATGAATCGTATCGCACAATCTGTCACAGTAATACTAGTAATACTAGTGCTCATTACATTGGAGTCCCTGTTGATAGATTAAATATAGGCTATTGCATTTATTATGTGTAATTTATACTCTTCACCGGTGGCCCCACGGCGCAGGATCTTGGAGCAGCTACGTTAGAGGCGATTATTAAAAAGCAGTCACTGAAGGTGATGATGATTTTAAAATAGTATTTATTTTTAAATAAAATGTACTGATTTAATTTATGTGCAGGAAGTGATGTGAGCTTGGCTTATATTCCTGAGAAAAAAAGCTGCATGAAGGAGCTCAGAAGGTCTGTGTTGTGCTTTGTAAATCTGCTCTGCTCATCAAACATTTCTGTAGCATACAGTTTATCCACACCCTTAAAAAAAAGTGTGTAATAATTACTTTAAAATGTTAAAATGATGTGAATCATATGTCACAGTCGTCACACTCACCAGATCTCAACCTAACTGAACACCTACTGTATGGATGATTTTGGTATTAGACAGCGCTCTTCACCACCATTATCATACCACCCAAGGAAAATACATATTTTGGAAGAATGCTGTTCATTTCTCCAGAGGAGTTCAGAGACTTGGAGGATCTATGACGAGGAACAGTGAAGCTGTTCTGGAGGCTCGGGATGGAGCGACATTTCAACATACTTTATGTGGGTTTGTCACCCACCTGCATATATATCTAATAATATAAAACTCACAGGTCCATTTAAATGAGTAGTTCAGTTTGCTGATAATAATTACATACTTTAACTTAAGATCAATACTTTAATTTAATATAAATGCTGGACTTGTACGTGGAGTATTTTGGTGTTGTTGTGCTACTGCTGCTACTTCTTCTTACAGGCCGACCATACTAGTGATTTCTTTGCAGTGAGCTGCACATCTAAAAAAAAAATTCTTTGCAGTGAGCTGCACATCTAAAAAAAAAAACAAACAAAAAAAACAGCATGCCACTGACATCTAGTGGTAACCGGTGGTGCTGCAGTGGTGGCGTTTTAACCTGAAAAGTGTTCGATGCAGCCACTAGGGTGAGCTGCATGCACATAGACCGATATGTGGTGTTAGAGCAGACAAGCACAGGCACAATACTGTCAGCCACGCGAGTGTTGCCCAGTGGTGACTCAGATCAGACTGGAATCATTTGACTTCCACATTATAATGTGAACACATTCTGTAGTAACAGGTTGGTTTAGTTGTTAAAATGACTATTCCTTGAATCAGAAGACCAAAGTTTAAATCCCTTTTACCACAAATGCACCATGCTGAAGCGCTCTTAAGCAAGACAGTGAATCAGTACTGGCTCCAGCAAAGGTCTCGCTCTGATGTGTGAACAGCGAAAGAAGAATATGCCTCCAGCAATCAGCATCATCTACATTTTTGTTTTTACGCATAACACAGTTGTACTCTTAGTAGGAATATATGTTAGAGCTTGTTTTCTCCTCAAAATTTCTTGGATGGTGCCGAACCTCCAACCACCTGACATGTCCTGCCACAACATGACTAATACACATCACCTGACTACACCTGCAGAGCTCAATCATGGCGCAATCTTAAAAAACAAACCCTTTCATATCCCTGTGCCATTTCAAACCGTCTTTTCCCACTTCTTTTTCCCACACAGAGCCTGTTCACATTGGTCTGGACAGTTGCCCAACAATTAAAACAAAGAGAAAGACATGTAAGGTAAATATGAACACAGTGAAGCTCTGTATGGGAGTGATGGTGCAAGTCTAAGGCTCGTTTTCATCAAGTTCATTATGAGTTTCCCAATTTTGGTCTTAGGCCAGATTCAACCCCAAGAATTTCACTGATGAGTAATATATTTTGTCCCTCATATCCACCAAATATCCAATGAGTCAGTCATGACTAACCTTTAGTCTCAGTCTATGTGGTCCATGAGGTTAAAGAGTTCTAGCTTTGTCACTATGTATGTTATGTATAAATTATTATAGCAAAAAAATAAAGAATTTTACATATGCACCATTATAGTTTTCGACATTATTTCAGTGTATTTTGCAAAAGGGCTTTTTCATTACCACATATCCTACATTACATTACATTACAGCAGATGCTTTATGGGGCAGCAGTAGGGGATCTTGGCATGAGTGCTACTATATCTATTTCACAAATGCAAGGAGATCAAGCAAAGAAGTGCATAGTACCTGCTAGTTAGGCATGTTATGGTGTTAAAGGTGTTTGGTGAGGAGGTGCTCTCAGAAAAGAAGTTAGTCTTCAAGAGATTTCTGAAGATAGAGAGGGACGCCCCTGCTCTGATGGCATTCAATGGCTCGTTCCATCATCGGGGAACCACAGACGAGAACAGTCTGGACTTAAATTATGGCAATGACATATCCTACTCTAACAATACAGTTAATTAGGTAGCTTTTCTGAAGCTTTTGGTTATATCACAATGTCACGTGATCCTCATCAGCAGATGATGCTGCCCAACAGTCGACATTCAAATTTAAAGGGGCTATTTGTAAGTTTTCTCTGAAATAAGCAAATACTGTATCTCCTTTAAGGACACTTCATCCTTGTTTGTTTAAGTTGAAATTGGAAATTAATTCTCGACATCGGAAAAAAGCAGTCGACAAACCAGACATTTAGTTGCTGTTCTGGAGCTTTTCACACAACCTTGAAACTGAATTTTCAACATCTTTGACTGAAATCTCCAGAACAGCTGCTGAATGATACTGTTTTGTCAGCTGCTATTTCAAAGGTCACGAACAAACTCTCATTCTTAAAAAAGTTTCTGTAGCTTGAACTCATGAACCTTTCCAGAACAGTCTGAACGGTGGAGCTGGAACAGACTTGTTTTTTTGTTTTTTTTCCCACTTTCAACTGAACGTTTATTCATCAGAATCAAATTTCACATCACCTGGATAATCAGGTCGTGTTGGTATAGCTTTGTGGCTTCAGTTAAGTTTCAATTTTTGTCATCAACTAGACTGATCTAACAATGCTGTCTTTCGCTTTGTTTCTTAGCAGTTTTTTACAATATTTTTGCTCGAACTAGACTGAACAGTTTGCAATATACTGTATCAGACTAAAACATTGCTTTGTCACGGCTTTACAGTTAATATTTAATTACCAATTAAGCAATTACTATATATTGATTTTGACAAAATATAAGTGAATGCAGAAAGAGTAGATGTTATGCATTTTTAGCTTATATAAGCGAGTCATTGTCCCCATTGACCCTTAACTCCTTGTTTGTCTGTTGTCAACATTTCTTTCCTGGAACTGGATCCTTGGACAACCTGAGCAATAACACAGAAGAAATGTGCTGTAGAATCAACAGTTCTCGGTGTAGTAACCTTTTTTTTTTTATATCACACTTAAGAAATGAATATTTAGGTGATTCTAGTCTGGACTGAATCTCTTTAGACATTAGTGACGCAACATGTTTTGGTTGAATTACAAAGTGACATGCATTTTCAGCAAAGTTAAAAAAAATGACACGCTATCAAAATTCCATATTAAAGTTTCAGCTGAAAAATCACTTGTTACTCAGTTGTAATTCAGTGTGTTGAGTCATTCTTTATAATGAGTTCTGTTAAATATCTTCATCTGTTTTAGAGGTTCGAGATATTGCATCCTTACTTTTGGTTAATATTGAGTCAATATTATGATATCACTGGTCCCTATATTTTACATGTGTATAATGCATGTACCTACATCAGGTCTGTGAATGTGGGGGATTTTCCCAGAATGAGAAAATGTAGTGAGTCTGGCTGGGGGGACCAAAAAAGAGGGACAGATCATGACCACCCTGCCGTGCCCTGCCCATAGACACACACAAACACACACACATGCACACACACACACACACACACACACGCACACAATATCCCGTTCTCAAAAACCTGCTTGTGACTACAAAGGGGAACTCCCGACCATAAAATCAGAAAACTTATCAAACAAATAACCAAACCTCTTACAAACAGCTTTGCAGAACAAACCGCAAACAGCAGGCGTTTACCATAGAATTGCTTTGCTAAGCAGTGAGTACATATGACTGAAATCCACAACTCCCTCCCTCCCTCCATTTCCATTTTATTCTTGAGGGTAAGGGGAGGCTGCTTGTGGTTTGCAAGTCCTTTGGTATGTTGGACAAGAAGCCAGTAATCGCAGATCTGAACTCAGAACAGTCACCATATTGGAAGCTTATTTGGTTTCAGATTTTTAATTCTCATTATCTTGTCTAAGAATCAAACTGGTTCCAGTTTTGTTATGTGTGCAACCCACACCCGTCCACCAACCCTCCACCAAGGCATTATCAGTTACTCTCCCTGTTAACGCTTTTATGTCCACCAGCAGCGTCTCCTGTCAGGTGGCATGTCTGCAGCTGAGCTTGTCTTACCTCACGAGTCCTCAGCTGGAAGTTTTTCCCTTCATGATAACAGTTGTAGGTCCTCAGTAGTGACAAGATGTCAGACCTGAATGTGAACACAAGACCACAGAGGAAAGATTAGCTCTCACGATGCAAGAAAGGATGAAATTTAATATATGCAATCACCACTGTGAGATTACTTTATTGTAGATAAATACCTTGCAGTGAGGAAACTAAAAGGACTTACTTTGGTATATGTTTCTCCTCGCTGAGCTTCACGTAGGTCTGAGGCTCACCCATTCTGTCTCGTGCGCAGCTGTGGCAGATGAAAAGAGTAACAAATGTTAAAAACGACATATGGATTGTATTATCTCAATATGCATATGAATGTAATGTGCTGCCATATTTCATTTTGATTCAATTCGAGCATTCGAAAGTTTTTCTTCTCTTGGAAAGCGGGAGACGGAAATCAGGAGAAATCACATGGTGTTGTTGACACACAGCCAACAAACTGATAGAAGTCGTGTTGTTGTGGCTAAGCCTAACAAAGCCTGGAAACTAACGCTGTGTTTTCAAGTCTCATTCAAGGACAACTCCTGCCTCTGTGTGCGGCTTCTTATTGAAAATTGGCATACACTGTACTAATGATAAGAAACACAGTTGTCTCTCTGGCACAGTTTTACAGAACACAACCGCTGTCTTTTTAGCCGAATAAAGTCAGTGCACGGTAGGAAAAAAAAGGGGAAATTCATCAATAACTTTGTCCTTCAGGGTGTCAAGTCTCCTCCGACAAAACTGGAGGAATGCTGTCCCTGATCCCTGTATCCTGATGACTGCGTCCTGATTTCAGAGGGAAAGTGCCGTGGGGAATTTCCTGGTTCGGAAAGCCCAGCTCTGAGTGAGCGGGGGAGGAGCATGAGTATAAAACAGCCACATGTGGCTCAGAGGCTCAGTGTCAACGCTCAGCTTGCCTCCAATATGAAGCTTTACCTTCAGTCCGTCTGTCAGGTCACCTTCCTGAGCCTCTGCTGCGTTCTGATTGCAGGTAAGAATCTACAGATTGATCTATGCTTGTATCCGTGTGTTTTTCTTTGATAAAATCTGGATTCAGTAAAAATGTGGATTCTCGCTTTATTTGGGCAAAACGGTCTTTAACATGTGAACTTGCAGTAACTTAAATCCGTGCTCGTGTTGCACGGTATCGAATTAACCTGTAATCCCGTTACTGTGTCCGTGCAGTGAGAGAGTCAGACAGCACGTTTGTCCCGGGAAGATGCTTGTGCCCACATATACAACCAGGCGTCAGAGGGCAACTGAAAGAGCTCACAGTCTACCAAAAGAGCCCAAGCTGCAGCAAAATCACAGTCATGTGAGTACCAGATCCTGCAGACACACACATTCTCGCACACGCACATCCAGATGAATGTGACTCAAAGTGTGGATTTTTACATGTGTTTTTCAGAGTGACACTGAAGAGTAACAACGAGCAAGTGTGTCTGAATCCAGAGGCGCCGATGGGCCAACAGCTTATTCGCTGCTGGAATAGGTGAGTGCCTTTATCAGTGAAACTTATCTATTAGTACAGACACTCATTCAGGGCATGAACAGTAAACATGTCCTGAAAACCCTGGCTTTGTGAGGTCTTTGTAATCCTAACGGACACTAAAGCTTTGTAAACCCAAGAGGATCACACAATCCTTTAATTTAGGTTAAAAAATTAAATTTAGCAATGACCTTTGCACACGACAACAACAGATCGCAGAATATTCAAGGTCTTATTTGGTTATAGAAGGGTTCCACCCATCTTCATATTTCCCGTAAATCATGGCCAACAGTATCTTATTTGTTGCCAAGCCAGTTCTTGTAATAACAAAGCACCTAGTTTTGCCTCCAGCAAGCTGGTAATACTTGACTTTAGTATTATCTTTCTTAGTGGTTTTAATGGGTTCTCCTATATAAGCTATTAATGCATGATCACATCTAACAAGCTAAGAGGTTTGTTTTAGTTTTTTATTCTACACACTGTCTGATACTACAGGAGCACATTCCCAGCTCTACCTCCACACTAAAGTTTGCACTTCTCTGTGTGTTTTCCAGAACTCATAAAATGGGTCGTGATGTGAAACTGTGCCTGAAGAGGAGGAGAGGGAGAGGGAGAGGGAGAGGAGGTCAGCGCCAGCGGTCTCGACAGAGGAGCCGCGGCCATAACGTGAAAGCCTGATCCTCAAACTCCCAATAATCAACCATCCTGCCAAATGAAATAAAGCTACTGCGTGGCGAGAAGTGGGCACACACGGAGAAACCAAACGCCAAACTGTTGGACTCTTAACTCCAGGCCACCAGCTGCTGTTAAACAGAAACAGCACACTACCACTTCTACAATTGTCTCACAGCTCAGACAACAAGTTCCCCTGAATTGCTGCCTGGGCTGTAAATCAAACTGATCTTCTAGGCCAGAAGCAGGGGGCTGTTTTTTTTTTGAGCAAATGACTGATGTAATGTTAAAAATTAAGCCCTGGAGGCTTGTCAGAAATGTTAAACTTTAGCTTTAAAACACTATCAAATGGTCAGTATATTGTTTATGTGTAGTTCTGTGTATGCACCTGTAAAAGCTAACTGAACACTTTGTCGGTTATTTATTTTTATATGAACATGGGAATTTTTTTTGTGACATTGTGTCTTTTTTTTTTGTAATAAATATATCTGAACAATAGTGTTGCCTTGTGTGCTTTTTTTTGTTAAAGCTCCTGACAGGAGAACTGAGGGATGATTACTTCCTTGGCAGGATATGAGAGGTCACTTAAGCCACAGTCTCAGCTTTGGTTAATAAACTACAGGATGTGAATCAGCAACGGGCACAGACAAACATATCTCATTTAAAACATCTGCACAAATATCTCAAAGTTAGAACAGGAGTTTATCTCTACTGTCAAATCTACAGAGTTCATGTAGAAACATTCGCTGGTGATGGTTTGGAAAACAAGACACCAGTGATGGCGCATGTTGTAATGTTGTACACGCTTATGATGGACTGTTGTTTGGTGTTGAACAAACAGACGGACACATTCAGGTGATAAGGGCGTGGGGCATTGAAAGTGAGTGTTTATGGCGGGTGGCTGATAACCCTGCTTCAAAGCAGCTCCGAGATTTCTTGTAAAGCATGTGACAGGATACATCCCATAAACACGCACACACACACACACACACGATACTTTTGCCCTGCACTCACACCAATCTGAATAAGAGATATTGAATAACCAAGGCATGTGCCAGCCTGTGTCCTTTCCCACCAAAAGGAATTAATTTGGTCTGTTGATACAATCCCATGAGATCACTCAACGCTTCATGGCACATGATGGTAGAACAGAAAGTGAAAGTAAGCGGCTCAACAAGCTCCTCTTTGTCACAGGCAGAGCTGGGTGAGGATGTTTTTTTTTCCATATTTGGTGTGTTATTGATGAACTCAGTGAAAGGATTGAGGTTCCTCTGAAGCCCAAAATAATTCATTGCAGATGGGATTAAGCAGGATACCAACTGAGAGGATATGTGACCAGCTGTCCGGATAACTGTCTTGTTTCTGGATGGCATGCAACCAACAGAAATTCACCCTTAAAATCCTAAGCACACTTACTCCAGTACTTAATCAATTATACAGACATTGTATTACAGCTGTAGTTACTTCCTGAATTGTTCAATAAGAAACTACCCAACAGAATGTCAATAATTAAAAGATTACTACATCTTAACCAAATACATAAAAATGCAGGTTAAAGTAATCATTATATTAACACAATAACAATATACAAATACTCAAACACATTCTGTTCTGCGATTCTGCTGTCATAATAAATACTTTTGATATTTTAAAATATATTTTGCTAATAATAGCTCTGCACTTTTACTTAGGTATAATTTAGCACACAAGCTTGTAATTGAGGATTTAGTACTACTACTGCTTTTAGACAAAACACCCCAAACCTCAATATTTACTATCAGCAAAGAAATAAACTTTGTCAAGCTTCTTGACTCTTGAACACAAATTGCAGATTTACTTCACCTTTTCTGCGACACACTGCACATCCACATGTAATGCAAAGGTAAGCACAGTCTTCAATACACACTGACAACTGATTCATTAACAACTTTTAGTAGTGTGTTAATGAACAAGGTGTAATGGTGTTGTACTCACTAGTAACAGATTTGTCTTATCTGAAGTCAAACTTTTAATTGTGATTAAAGGTTAAAGTAAAGGTGATGTGATTTTGAATCTTAGGTCATAGTCTGAGGTCTGAGTTTAGGATTTTTTCTATAGTGAGTTTCCCTTTTTACGATATAGGTTTTTCTATAGGAATTGTATTAAGATTATATGAATAAGAAAAGAAAGAAATGTCTTGTTAAAATGCAGGAATACTCTCTCCTTTAACTGTAACACACTGTAGCCTATACTTTGAACAAACATTGGATGTTACATTCGAACACTTGCCTCTATAATACCTGTCACTTAAGCCACATAACCATGACGCTGATGTCACGATGGTGCCACCTAGTGTCTAAAGTGCGATGTACACCGAACTTCATTGAGATCCTCATCCGGTGTAGAAGAAATGGCTCCGTCTTAGTCACTGATGGTCCATTAAGCAGCTTGATGACACAGTGTCGTATTGTTTCAAATTAACAAGGACTGTGGTCTCTCTTCACACTGACAACACCTGCGGGGACAGAGCCTGCAGGACACTGGGCGGCTTTAATGTAGTCTTTACTCCAAAGTGCTTAAAACTCTGAGCTCTTGGTTGGGACTCTCCCAGCAGCCCACTGTCTGAGATGAGCTGTGGACTTGCATTGTATCATTTGGTCACATGATAGAGGAGGTGATTCTTTAGCTTTTCTTGCAGCTGAAGCAGAAGTTTCTTATGGGGGGGGGGGGGGGGGGGGTAATGCTTGCATGAGCAGTAGTAGTCACCACAAAAACCAGGAAACTAGACTGCCCAGTACTGACCACACAACTGTCTGAATGGGAAGTGACTCCGGGAAGTGAGGCACAATTTCAGCTGAACAATGAACACTGAGGACAAAATAGGAGACAAGTCGTTTGAATTTCTCTCACACCGCTGCTCCTCTTACTATTCTCACGTAGTTAAAAGATTGAAATCCAAATCCAAACTATTCTAATGGACTCTTCATGGTCTTTATGAAAATCCAACAATGTTTATGTTAATTACTGAGGCAATGGCTGCACCTATATCAGCCCTCCTCCCTCCCTGTAATGACCTCTGCCCATCTCCACTTTCATCCAAGGAAACTGCTGACAGAGTAGGTGCATAATGGGATGGGATGGTCAGTCTATCTCTCATACATATTTATACATAATAATGGGTGTATAAATATTCCATAACTTAAAGGATTCCAGTCTGTCACCATTATTATGAATTATTCAGCCACTGCACATGGCTGCACAGGAGATGGACCAAAGGCTTGGAGCTGTACAAAGAAGATAGAGGTCATTTTACTGGGTGATGCTGAGGTTTTGGTGAATTTCTCTTCTCTTCTCTACCTCTGTGTGTGTGTGTGTGTGTGTGTGTGTGTGTGCGTGTGTGTGTGTGTAAGCTCCCTCGGTGGACAAAGAACCTTCATTGCAGGTCTGCTAATTGGTTTGATCATCGCGAGATTCGTATCCAATTATCGCACCTACACTGCCAGCTGCGCCCCGAAGTCGATCCATTCCCATGCGTAAAATGTCCAGGAGTGCTCCAAATAGCGCACACAGTGCAGTCTGAATTTCGAGACAAACGCTGACATTTCCTTGCAAATCACTTCATGAAGAATGATCTATTTGTATTGCAGCCATTACTGTAATGAACGTCTAGTTTTAATAATTGAGAAAAACAAATAAAAGCTCACGAAAAGGAAAGTTTTGTAGCAGCCGCAACAGTATTAATGTTCCTGGATGCAAAAAACAAAACAACTGTTACCGTTAGAAACCTGCGTCCAACTTCAGAACCCCAATTCATTTTGTTTGTTTTCAGGGTTTAACCGCGTGATTTTCTAGGTAAAGTTTCCTCCCTCCTTCTCTTTTCCTATAAAAAATACCCTGCAGTAGATTTGATCAGTTTGTTTCTTACCATAGCAGAGCGCGTCCACCGTCTTCTTCCGTATATCTTCCAGCGATGTTCGCTATCCCGCTACTCCTTCGTTATCTTCATGCCTCCCCGGACGTGCGGCGTTCAGAGCTGGAGGATAAAACTGACAACAGGGTGATCCAATAGAAGGCCCGTACTGGAACACCTCAGCCAATCAGCACTCAGAGTGGGCGGGGCTAACGCAATCAGGGCTGCATACCTCTCTCCTCCTGATCAAGGTGCATCTGAGTTCACAGCAGTGTCTTGCATTCTGCTCTTTGATGACAAAAGCTCAGAGGATCATCATTAGACAACATTTTTTTTACTATGCTAATTTTGTGATTTTGACCTATAATCTATTAGAATCTCTTTTAAAGGATGGACTAATAGGTGTGTTTTATTACTTAAATGTTTGTATCTTTTATCATGCTTGAATTTTATTTTATTTTATCACCTTTACTGTTAAGTTTTTGTTTGTTGTGTTTTATGTTTTTTCCTTTTTTGACAGAATCAAATCAGTTGCAAAAAACAAACAATTCAAAGAACTAGCTCTGTATATTGATTTCCTTATCACATGTGCAGTGATAAAAAAAATCTAATCTCTCTAGCACAGCCATCACTAAAACACTGGCCCTGGTTTTTCTTCTCCAGCACAGCAGTAAAGGAAGAAGTCTCTGTGACCTGTTAAGATTTACTTCACCCATCCTGTTTTTGAGCCTGGATCTGCCATCTAGGAAACTATTGTAGGGTGGAAACACAAGCTGTAGGAAGTCTCTCTCTCTCTCTCTGTCTCCCTCTCTCTCTCGCTCTCTCCCTGTCTGAATAGGATTTATGATTTAACATGCACAGAGGAAGTAAGTTGTTCCAGCAGCATAGCAGCTGAATAATTTCCCTCACAGAGAACAACTCATTCTAAAAGGACATGGGTACAGGAGGAAGAAGTTGGTGGGGCGTTTATGGAAGTGGTGTGGAAATACTGACGTTCTTTTCCCTCTCTTTTGTTTCTTATTGGGTCACTCGGCTGCTAATTGACCAGATATCCTTGTGAAGAGGACAATGCAGCCCTGATTATGGCCAACTGAGCGGCCTCAGAAAACTCCGCACAAAGACTCCCTGTTCTCTCCATAAAGCACCAAAACATCTCCTGACTGGACTCACATGTCATGGCTTTGATATATAGAACAAAAAAAAAAAAAACAAGGAAAGAAGGAATGATACCATGTAGCAGCTGCTGATGTAGATTGTGTCTAATATAGAGAATAACCCAGTTGTTTCACCCACAGGCTATGTATATATGTGTATGTGTTTTTTCACAAGTCTGCTGTCTGGCTCCACTTCTCAGTGAGGTGTTTTCTGATGAATGAGGCTCTCTGCTTTTATTGATTCTCTCCTTAGCTTTGATGCTGCAGAGATGTTGCCTCTTAAGGCTACATACAGTTATATACCTACACTTCAGTGAACAAAGGACCGAGGAATCTGGTGTGTGTGTACAGTGTGTGTGCAGTGTGTTTGCCTGTGTTTTGACAGAGCAAAAACAGTATTGATTTATGACCTGAACAAAAGAGGATGGTCTGTATGGAGGATTGTATCCTGTGTAGCATGATGGGAAAAAAGAAAAACAATTGAAACAATAACAGGCTTTTCATGCTCACCTTTGTGTCATGAATATGCTCATTTCAAGGTGATTTATAGAGTGTAAGTCTGATTCACGCACCCTATTAACATCATCAACGCACAGCATATGACATATTATTAATTATTATTATTATTACCATTATTTTTATTTCTAAATTATTTTTGGTGTGCTGGCACATTGGATGTGTTTTGGTGAAGGCCTATATTGGCGCTCTGGTGGGTGATCTGATGTTTCTCTCATCACCATAATAACGCCTGCGCTCCTCCCAGAGCTCCGTCTCCATGGTCACCACGCGCACATGACAAACACACAATGAGGAGACTTGAATGTGACTACAGCACATTGCACCTGCACAAGCTCTCAATGCCTGCTGCTCTCACTCACTTTCGCACATACTTTTCTCTGACGCTGAATGGATGAAACAGCTGATCTAATTTACCACCTCATGAATAATGTATGCTGCAGTAACTGGATTGGATTGCGCGACGTTAATGTCTGCTCTTCAATCTGTGCTGGCTCTGCAAAACCAGGCTATCAGATTAAAAGCCACCCACGTGCACATGTAGGTACAAATGGTTTAATTTCTTTGAATTTATACATTTGATGCAGTTGTTAAAAATACTTCATAGTTTATTTTCCATAATACATTTTCATAGTGTACAAATAGATCTTTTTGAAGTAAAAAATATATAAATCAACAGAACATTTAATAAAAAAATTATCAGAAAAATCTTGATATTTTAGTTAGAAAATGCTTAAAAGTGTTATTTTGGTGGGTCAGACATTTTATATTGGTATTTTCAGCTAAATGAAAGACAGCCACAGTGCAGCACCAGCTGCTTGCACACAGTCAGTATGACTAAATTACCCATGCTCTCCATCATGTGATATCAGTAAGCAGCTCAGTCTGAGCGCAGAGGGACGTTCAGTCAGTAATCATAGGTGCAGTGTCTGAGGTGGTGTCTGGCTCCGGCTCACAGAAGCCGTCCATCTCCTCCATCTCTCCCTCCACAGGCTCCTCCCTATCTCTGAGGCTGATCAGCCTCCTCTCTTTCCTCCCCCTCCTCCCCCTGTCTGTGTCTTTAGCTGCTGCTGTCTGCTCCAGCTCCAGCATAGCCTGGACGCTCTCTCCTCTCTCTCCCAGGCTGAGGCAGCGGTCTCTGGCTGCGAGAACCAGTCCCCCTCCTCTCCTTCCTGTCATCATGTGGAAGAATGAAACGCTGCTCTCCGAGCCTGCTCTCTCCGTCACGCAGACAGTGGTCGGGCCTTGATCGCCGTAGCTCTCCTGTGGCCTTTTGGGAGACGTGGCCTTTGTTTTCTTGCTGAGTATGAAGTAGAAAAAGGCTGTCACCAGAAGCATTGTCCCTGGAATCAGAAAACATATTTCTTTTTCTATACAGGTGTAAATAATACAGTGAACAACATGTTAAAAGGTTTTCTATTCGAAAGACCAAATATGAGATTAATAGTACAGTAAACAGTGCTCCAATTATTAGTTTAAGTTTTGTACCTGCTGGTGCCAATTTACCTGGGATAATTGCATGCCACACCAACACAGGGTGCAAGAAGCAGACCACTGACATGATGGAGTAATAGAGGAACTTGTGGAAGCCTCCAATATGAGCCATCTTCCCCCACAACACGAACAGCTGCCAGTCTGGAGGACAGCTATCGAGATAAAGGGGGAGAAGATGAGGAAGGAGACAAGCACACATGCTAATATCTTCCTGTCAGGAGTCATGACTGACAAAATCCATGTTTAAATTTAGCTTCCTATACCTGCTTTGCACTGACAAACTACATAGTAGGTTAAAAATGACCTAAGAGAATTTTACTGTGTGTGGTTTCCCCTCTGTTTATTTAGTATCAGTGCAAAAACACAGATGTTGCAGTCGAGTGTTGTTTACTCACGGCAGACACATAGACAGGAGAGCATGCAGGAAATAGGCCAGCTCAAACATCATGATGGCAAGAGATGACACCCTGGGAGGAGAGTTTAGAGCCAGATGAAACTGACAAAGTCTCAGTGATAAAATCAGCAAACTGCCTCTAAACTATGTAAACTAGGTCTAAATATGCCCGTTTCTTTGTATCTTATCTAGATGTTGGTGCATGAGGAATGCATTGCTAAATTGTTTTGACAAATGGGCAAAATGTGGGTAGGACCTCAAGTTGCCTGTGACAAACACAAAGAGAAATCGCCTTCATATGGTGCAAAAGACTCTGCATTTATGAGTCTTTTTTTGTGTGTGTGTATGTGTGTGTGTGTGTGTGTGTGTGCGTATGTGTGCGTGTGTGTGTGTTGCTTTGTTTTTCTATAATTGTGGGGTCCAAAACCGAGGAGCTCAGCATACTTGTGGGGTGTGACAGTTTGTGGGGACGAAAGTGCTGGATCCCACCAGTTTAAACAAGACTTGGTTTTAAAATTAGAGTTAGAATAAGGTCAGGGTTTGGCTTAGGCATTCAATTGTGATAGTTAAAGTTACGGTTAGTGGCTTGAGAATGCATTATGTCAATCCTAGGTCCCCACAAATGTAGTAAGGCAATGGTGTGTGTGTGTGTGTGTGTGTGTGTGTGTGTGTGTGTGTGTGTGTGTGTGTGTGTGTGTGTGTTGTGTGTGTGTGTGTGTAGGAATACAGCGTTCATCTGCATTTGTGTGTACTGACAGAATAAACAATCGTGCATTTCTGGGCTCCTCTGGGAGATGTTTTCCTTTGGCTCTGTGGGAGTTTAGTTCTGAGCCCCAGATATAATTAGAAGTAGCACTGAAGGACTGGTCTCCACTATGCCCTCTACACCTTGCTTCATCCCTCTGACTCCTTCCCAACATCTCCTTGCAAGAGTGTATATATACTGTATGAGCGATTATGAAGGAGGGTACAGTGTTGTGTTTTCTAAAAGCCCTCAGGCTGCATGTTCTCTCCACACGGCCTGTATGTAACTCAGTAATGCGCCCACTTTAGTCTCGAGTAGGCCAGAGTCAGGAGTGCTTTGCTAGGTTTAAATTTTTACATTATATTTGTGAGGTAGACAACAAAACACATGCACTTACATTAAGTAGATGCCGAGGCTGTTGAATTCTCCCTGTTGCAGGGTCTCTACTCCCACAGCGCACAACACTGGAAAGGAAACAGGTAGATCATTTCCTTTTTTTCCCTGAGAGTTACTGGTGAGCAGACTCTGTCCACCAGATGTCAGACTTAGCTCATGATTTTCTCCTTATTGCCTGAGTTGCAGTTGTCTAAAACTTATGTGAATACTGTTGACATTTCCCCTGTGATGCAACTTTGTGTCGTGCTGCTTTTACTGTTTTTTGCCATATTTATCTTATATATCTTTGTCACATTGCTGTGATGTTTAGGGCAGTTGTGAGAAACTAATTTAAGTCCTGGCTGAAAACCACTTGTTCCCTCATTGAGCAGTAAAGATTGACTTGAGCTGACCTAAAGTGGCCCAACTTGAAGTCATGCTTTACGTTCCAGGGCATAGTATTGAACTGATGATGTGCCTTACATAAATATAAAACACTTTCTTTTGGTAATTGCTGTAATTGTTTCCATTATGGTCACAAAATTTTTGCTAATAGCTTATTCATGCTTGCAATTATGATATCACTGCCAGCAGGCTAGGTAATTTCATTTGAGTGGACACTTAACACATCACAGAGTTTCTGCCAGTGAAATAAAGATGTCAAAATGTGTTGATAACCGCTCCTCCTGTCTGACATCTTGGGCTTATGAGTGACAAATGATACAGAACAGTATTCCATCTATTCTTCTATTTATAATCACTATATCTCAACAAAAGTACACGCTTTCTGTAAAAAAGGGATGCTCGGCTGCAGCTGGAAGTTTCCAATTTATTGCTCTTTTTAAGCAAGATCATCTTCTATAGTTTCCTTTAACCTCTGACCTTACCACTGTGGGAGAAGCTAAGAGGGATTTCCCTGAAGGCATAAATGAATTGATTTAATTGAATTTAGATACTTGCACTACTCCCACATTGCTAATATTTTAAAGATAAAGTATGATATTGTAGGAAATATGCGTATGTGCTTTCTTGCTGAGAGTGAGATGGAAAGTTTGATACCAATCCAATGTCTGTGCGGTAAATGTAAAACTACTGCCAGCAGCCAGTTAGCTTAGCTTAGCATAAAGATTGGAAACATTTGCAAACAGCCAGCCTGACTCTGTCCAAAAGAATCAAAATCTTCCTACCAGCACCTCTAAAGCTCACTAATTGACGTTACAGCTTGACCTTGTGGTTTTACTTGGGGTTATGTGCTGGACTGTTTCTTGGCCAGGCACGGTATAACTTCCTGGCTTGGCAGGTAAGCTAGCCACCTTTGGGCAAATCCAAGGCTCACTGTTTCCCACTGTCTCCGGTCTTTATGATAAGCTAACAAACCCCATGTATATTTAACATCCAGATATGAGCATTCTATCAATCCTCTCATCGAACTCTCAGCAAGAAACCCCTAAATGTCTAACTATTCCTGACAGTGCTGACAGAAAAACACATTTAACACATGGAATGATCTAAAATCTGATGACAACAAAGCCTCAAAAACTACAAAGAAAAGCCTGTTTTAATAACCAATCTTTTTCCTATGAGGTATAAAAGAAGTAAGCATGGTTAAGTGGTGATCGCCACCAAACACATGGAAGCAATTTCTCTGGCTTGCTTACCAGAAATTCAGAGATAGAATCAGCACCGGAGGGAAATCAAGGGAATGCAGCTAAATGGTTTCTGGTAGTTTATAGAGTGTGAGAGGAATTAACGCTGCATACACACCAGCTGGAAATTAACATATATGCGCTCCCTGCGTGTATGTCTGTCTATAGAACACACACAGAGAGGCAGACAGGCCAACACAGACATGCAGACATGCGAACACACAGGCAGACTAGACGTAGGCACATGCAGACATGCCATAAACGTACACACACACACACACACACACACATATAGAATAATGCTGGGAAAACTCATGTAGGTGTGAATGTTTAACAGCTTGTGATCATGTAAGCCCTGTAACCCAGCTTGATGCAGAGACTTGGTTTTGGTGCGATGTGAGGCACATGTCTCTCAGTGAATGTTCAGTGTCTGCAGCTGTTTGAATTTAAGTGGGGGGGGTCCCCCAGCAACCAGAGAGTCATTTCCCCCGTGATGATTTAATGTGGCTAAGAGAGCTCCATGCAATCTGTCCCAGTGTGCCTCGGGAAAACAGAGGAATGGGGGGGGGGGTAGTATGTTTTTATAGCGCCGTATCTCTGCCAAGAGATGGTTTGGCCTTCTTGGAGGTCAAGAATACAGTTAGCCAACATCCTCATCTGACCCTCTAACATCTCAGGTTTATGAAATCCTTAAAAAACCCAGCTGGATAACCCCCCCCCCCCCCCCCCCCCCAAACCAAACCCCCCCCCCCACAAAAAAACCCCCCCCCCCCCCCCCTCCTACTCCCCCCACCGTTAATTTAAAACAAAACCCAACCCCCCCCCCCAAAAAACCCACGCCCCCCCCCCCCCCAAACCCCCCCCCATCATAATTTAAATAAAAAAAACCCACCCCACCCCCCACCCCCCCCCCCCCCCCCCCCCCCCCCCCCCCCCCCCCCCCCCCCCCCCCCCCCCCCCCCCCCCCCGCAGGAGAGCTTAAAATGGTCTTGTACTACTAATATTACTACTACTGCTACTACTATTACTGATAACATATTATGTTTTATTGTAAGTCTTTATTTATATTTTCACAACAAGTTCTGACTGACCAGACGAATATAGACGAAAGAGGATCTATTGTGCATCTGCTTGTGTATCCAAAGAACTAAATCATGTCCATACTGAAACAATAAGTGATACACATGACTCTAAATCTAATGTTGCTATAATTCTTTTGTTTGTTTTTATGTAGATTTTACCTGTTGCTGTGGAAACACCGAGGATCCTGCAGGCGCACTCCACTACAATCCACCATACACTCTCTGAGTTCCCCATGGCCTCAAATACTTATTCTTCCCTTGTCAAGGTTTAAAAATGTAACACTTCACACTTTTCTAACACTATCTGAGATAGTTGGTGACCTAGGAGCTACTAAAGTAGCATTCTAGACACATAGTTGAGCGTCAGCTAGATGGATGGTTGTTGGTAAAAAAGCCAAAGTCAGGTAATCCATGGGGAGTGCCATGATGTGGAGCCTCTTAAACTGGTCCAGTTTACTTCAGAAAAGTTTGTGACTCAGTGCCCCTGTTGCTCCAATAACTGCTAATCAGCCTCACATACACACACACACGTACAAACACACACACACACACCCACACCCACCCACCCACCCACCTACACACACAATAACAACGCCACTTTCAGCTGCTTTAGCATTCCACCGCGTACGTCAAGGTGAAACTGCTCAGTTCAGGGTCAGTTTTGTACCGTATCACATTTGTCATTAGAGCTGGTTAAAAATTATCTGTGAAGAATTAATATAAAACTAACTCATGCACACATACTACACGTGTACATGCATATTTACACACATATCTAGAATTAGTAGTAATTTGTATGCACCCTTGAACTGGAACTGAGATCATTGGTTCCCAAGCAAAGTCCCCTCTTCCAACACCAACAACTTGCTCTTGTTTTCCTCTGTGTAATTTCACCTTGTTGTGTGGTTTTCGGTGTAATCAAACCATCAGAAACACTTTATTTTTTCAAAGTCATAGTCATAAATACAGATTCCATTTTAGCATCCATTTATTAGAAGACTGTTTCAATTAGAGTGAGCGGTGACATAACAGGCTGCAGCTCATGTCACTGAACAAAAAGCAATGTTTTCACGCTTAGAAATCTGATAAACATAAAGTGTGAAGTTTATTTTTATGTATCTTGTGAATAGTATAACAAGGCTATGGATATGGGCTCAAATGCCACAAGAACACACAGACTCTTTGACACACTTACACATGCGTAAATGCAAGCCCACATAATCGGTTGACGCAGGTTTGGCCGGGGTGTAATCTTGTTCAGGCTCAGCAGAGGCCAACTGGAACGAGCAGTTAAGAGTCACAGTGTGCACACACACACACACCCTGACTCCTGGTAGGGGCCAAAGTAAGCTACGTAAATCTCCTTAAATCTCTAACAAAGACACTTTTGTGTTTTTGTACTCATTACACTTGTTTCCGGCTTAACATGCAGGATATTTGTGGCATTTATGGTATAGAATGTAAGTGTGTATGAGAAGTGCAGCACAAACTACTAATACTGCATGTGTGAGGACCAATGACACTATATGTTTATAGGGATGGCACAGAGCTGTGTTTTTGCCAACTTGTAGTCTTGTTAATAAGATGTTCTTAATAAAGCATCTAAAAGCTGTAACTATTGGCTTAACTTATTAAACACTCTTAATGCACAATCCTCTACAGTGCTTTGTCTTTTCATCTGGCTCTTTCATTTATTTCCTTCTCGCAAAAAGAAGCACAGCATCCAGACAAAAATTTACAGGTGCAGTTGTGATTGTTTATTTTTGATGGCTTATTAGCTATTTAATTGCTTAATCACTTATGTTGGATGGTTGTTTCATCTAAAGTGCTTTACAATGTGCCTCTCATTCACCCTTGCACCTAGACACTGGTCTGATCATCTACTGGGTTTTAGCATCTTGCTCACAGACACTTGGGGCATATGAACAGGAGCAGACTGAACCACAAAACCAGATGCTTAATGGACAACTTGTGAGACACTGTTGCATGTACACATCCAGTCTATACTGTAACATGCCGTAAAAAAAAATTCTAGGAACAAACACAACTATTTGACCACCCACTGTACGTGATCTGATTGATAAAAGAGAAAGGAAGAATTCTTAATTAAATCACGTGCATGTTTAGACTGCAGTACATTATTGCACATGAACCAGACATAGATGAGCGAGGAATGTGTGCTGTGCATGTTAACTGAGCCTTACCACCATGGCCACATGCGGGCTGTGTGTTTATGTTTATTCGACATGCTTGACCCTCATGATGACATGAAAAACAGCATTATAAAAACATAATTTTATTGCAGTAAGTCTCTGCGTGTTGTGAGGGGATCATTGCTGACATGTGCTGTACATTGTGAGTTTTATGGCAATTGTCAGGGTATGCCAGAAGGTGGAGTAGTTTAAATAATTGTGACTGATTGCCTTCTAGAGAGACTGTAAATCTAATATTACAGTATAAATACGGCCTCATGTTTTCATTTTGCTTTGAGCAGCTGTACACAGACATGTCCAGGTCTCCTCTCAACGCTCAGCTTCACACAGCTTGACCCCCTTGACCTCTCTCCCTCCTCCCAAACTTTCACTCGCCCACTCACACGTTCTCTCATCTCGCAATAATCCCTGCTTTAGGCCTCCTCACCTTCCTCATCACGGCTTCACACCATTCACACACACACATACACCCCTCCTTTCGCTCTTCCGTACCCATGGGCATGGGACAAGAGATTAGCCATGCCTCTCCCTCTCTCTCGCTCTCGGCTGTCTCTCTCCCTTCCTGCCCATCCAGCCTCTCGTAGGCCGGCGCGGGTGTCTGGTGCTTGTCAGAACCAGTGAAACCAGCTCTAATTGTAATTACACTAGCAGTTTTTATTACCCTGCTACATTGCTTTGCTCAGGCAATTTCCTCATAATCACCTCCCATAGGCTGCTCTATCTAAGGGCTGAAGGAGGGCTGTGAAAGATCTCTGAATAATTTCAACAGAATGCATTAATATTTCTTAAAATATAAAGATAAAAGCCTTACTGGATGCTTTGTGACTATGAGATCCCATGTGCAGTCTTTACCACCAGTGCCCTGCCATGGTGGAACTGAATTACTAAATTTACAAAGGCAGGGAGCCACCTAGTGGTTGGGATGTGTAGGTACATCAAGGTCACAATGTGACTTCAGTCGTCATAGTCTAGCAGATTTATGAACCCCATGAGATACTTACATGCTGAAACTGACTAGTAACAAAGTGCCTTGTCTTTTTTTTCTTTCTTTTTCTTTTTTTAGTTGTGTTCCCATTTATAACAATAGCAAAAGGTCAGGAGCATCTCCCAGAGAGATGGAGCACAGACATGGGAAGAAGCAGGAAAAATGTGTGGTTGTGAAATAGATATGAATCATTGAGAAAGTTTTTCTGAAGACAGAGAGGATATGTAATGTCTGCCTGTTTATTGTCTAACAGTCAATGCAGATTATATTCATCGTTACAACATGGTGATGTGTTCAGAGCCCCCCACGGTTTTTAAGGTAAAATTATAGTTAGTAGAGCACTGTATAAATCAGATTCAGGTTTACGTCATCAAATCACAATTCTGCTAAGCAAAAACCTGGTGCAGGACTTAAGCATGTAGTCAAGCATTTTTAAACTCACAATCTGATCACACAATTTGAGGTTGCAACAACAGTTTTTTGGCCACTTGGGGCCAGCAGAAACACACAGTAAACGCAACAATCAAAGTTGATATGACTTATTTACACATCCAGCAGACGTGGGGCAGCATCATCAGTTATTTGAAGTTGTGTTTGCGTCGACCTGGTGAATGTAAGTCCAATATCCAATCACCTTTTAGCTCTCTTTTGGTCTCCACCATCTCCTAACAAAAACATTTGCCTCTTTAGCTGCTAAATGTTCACTCGGTAGTCGCTAACTTAGCCTGTGTGCAGTTTGGTGCTGCGCAGGTGGTTCACAGTGGGTTTATCAGAGCTTTTTCATTGAAAACCGTAGTGATGAGAGCAGCAAGTCTGAACCAAAACAGTCAAGTTGCAGATCAGGAAACCGAAACAGTGAGCTGAAAGACACTAAAACGCTCTGTGGGGATGAGGGTGACTGAAGAGTCGTCTAATAACTCTCAGTCTCGGTTCATCACTACAAGCAACCTCATTCACTTACATGTAGTCAAATGTAATATACATTTATTGACTATTGCTGCTTTAAACAATGCTCATGTATGGGTGTTCTTCATATTGCAAGTGTGAAGGGGGACAGCACTGTATATGGTGAGGTTTTACCATGTGCTCATGCATGCTTAATTTTAACTGTCAGAGCGTGACTTGGCTGAGAGGTGTGAGAAGTCTTGACTCTCGTTCACACAGGATGCAAATGAGCTGGCGGACGACAACATGGAAATGTCCAGTTTGTATCCATCAAACCAGAGTCTCACTTACCAGTATATACACTATGTGTGCATGCACTACTGTGAGTGTTAATCTTTGGCTTCTGAGGCCAGCTTCACTAATGCAAAGTCAAATAAATAGTTATCCCCAGCTTCTCTTCCAAAGCTAATGTTAAACTGTCACAGCTTCTCTGTTTCAGTGTCAGTCTGTTTTGATTTGAGCGGAGCTGAGTCAGGAAGTTTACATCCTCTGCAATAAGAGAATATGACTTTTATCAGATGTGTGTATTGAGCACATACCACTGAGTTCACTGACTGTTAAGTGATGACTGAGTTAGCAGATCATTCTCTGTCCTTTCACTTAGAATGACAGTGTATTATGTTGAGCCAAGTCAGTGTTTCCTCATTTTCCCATCATTCTGTAGACCATAACCTGCCATCCCCTCGCTGTAAAACTTCTTAGTCTGCTGTGTCTCATCTGTCCTCCGTGTCTTCTCACCAGCCCACAGACAAACCTAATTAACAGAAACAACTTAACTCTTTTGACTCTGACAAATGCCATCAGAGGAGCTGTCCAGATGAGTGAAGAATTTCCTTTCTGCCAATCAGAGGATGACAAAAGGCGTCCTGTCAGACTAGTCTGATGTTTTTATGCCAGGCCATTATCTTGAGCATTAACAGGACCACATCGTCCTTACACATTGTCTGGAGGAGGCCAGGTTAAGGAATACACTACCAAGTGAGAGGGCAATGCCTCTCAAGTGTTCGCACAAACACACACACACACACACATGTGATTCACACACTGATAGTGAACAGAGAAGAAAACTGTAAGCAATCAGGGTTTGGCCTTGGTACTGAGGGGTTATGATATTTTTTCTTCAATTTCTGTACAAAAGAAAATTTCTGTCCCATGAGCAGTTATTCTGTGGTTAGAGTGCAAAGTCATTAAAGATGGGGTATTCGCCCTGTAACTAAGAGGTTGCAGCACAATCCCAGGCCCCACTGTTCCCACTGGAGCGATGGCAGCCCCCCATTGGTCTGGTTGGCCGATTTTGGCTTTGCTACACATGCCTTCT